GTTAGGCCTTCTCTCCTTTGAAAAAATGTAAAATGTCTATATATACTAATCGGGCTTTACAATGTTTGTTATATTTATATTCAGAATAATTTAACTGTTTAGAAATATTTTACTTCTGAACAATGCCTAATTATTTAATTTCACAAATTTTTGTAAGATTGTGTCTTAAATGTCTGAATATAGAATTTGAAATATGTATTCATTCATAAATGATTATAGAATTATTTAGAAGTATTCATATATTTTTAATATGAATAAAAAACTTAAAAATTGTTACAAGTATTGTCATTTATTGAATAAAGACAGTTTAATTTAAAAGTGCTTTAATGGAATTAGATCTGCCTGTAGATTTGTTCTATTAGTGAAAGAAACCTTTAAATCTAGTAGTATTTGTTTTGATGTTTATTCAGACCTTTAGAAAATTCAGTTTAGTTTACAGAAACATTGATTTTTTAAAATCTTACAGAAAAAGAAGTGTTTCTTGGCTAAATATGTAACTGCTTTACCATATTGTATTACATTATATAACATTATTTTATCAAAATTAGTGCAAATGATAGTATAATTTAGATATAATTTGTGAATTTGAAATGAGTTAAATAGTTGATATATCATAAAAATTTATAAATTATTTACTCTTAGTAAAGTTTATATTATTAATATAAAATCTGATCAGTAATTTAAGGTTGAATTTAGTTTAGTCTTTAGAAGAGAATTAAATGATAATTCAATTTTCAAATGTTGAGTTTAATATTAATATTAAATAAATGTCAAATTATCATGTTTAATTTTTGACATTGAAGCTTAGAAGCATTGGTATGCCATTCAAAATTTATATATATTTGGTGTGGATGTGTTTGGGGAATATGTTAGTATTGTATAGGGTGTGGTGCAAAAATCCGGACAAATTACACAGTTTTTTCAAACATATTTTTTATTGCAAAAAGCAAAAAGGTTTACAAATTTTTTTAACCATATTGTTTGTAAGGCCATAAAGAATACATTTACTTAATATATCCCCTTCCTGCTCGAATTACCGCCTCCATTCTTGGTCTGAAGTGTGTGCAGGTGCGCTTTAATGTGTCACGGTCCATATCAGCGAATGCCACATCAATAACAGTGCTCAATGATGTGACATTTAGATGTCTGGACTTGTTAGTGACACTTTCAACTACGCTCCATACATAGAAGTCCAAAGGATTCAAATCTGGGCTGTTGGAAGACCAGAATTCTTTCGACCAAAATATGTTGATGATGTCTGACAATCAATTTTGCACCAAATGACTTTTAATTGGTAAGACTTGTAGCAGAGTGTTATATTATATGTTGTATAATGCACAAGACTGACAAAACTTAAATTATTATTTATTACTACTAAAGAGGAGACACTCGTGATGGGCTTTATGACAGACAACTGACAACTAATCACTTTCGTTGGCCACTGTGTGTCATCACCAGTACATATCATAACACGCCCTTTTTTTTTTTTTTTTGAAAATACAAACATTAACAATATATACTATGTTTACAACTTTTGTGGACTTTCATCATTCTCAGTAAACGAAAATCTGCGAGGTTTATTTATCTGCCTGCCTGAGCGGGTTGTCAGAACACGGGGTTGAGCTGAGACAGGTTCAGTTGTTTTGTCAGGTTCTGCTTGACTATTTGCCTGCTCAGGAGTAATTGGACTAGATGTAGGCATGCTGTTAATTGTATCTTTTATTTTCCAAGTTGGCACTTCTGTTGTTCTAGGAGTCTTCAATAAGTGATGTCTGTTTCTTCTATAGTGAATTCCATCTGGTGTTTTAATGATTTATGTTCTGGGCATCGGGCCAACTTTGACAACAGATGCAGGTGACCATGGTTTTTTTGGACTCTTTTTATAGTATACTTCATCACCTTCCTTTAAAGGTGATAAGACTTTAGTGTGCTGGTCATAATAGGTTTTTGCTTTACTCACTTCTTCTGCACGGATTTTGTTGTAGTGTTTTATATCTATGACTCTTGGCCTCAACACAGTTTCGCTGACAGGNTTTCTTATGCAAGCAGCTTCAATTATTTTATTTTAAATTCTTTAATTGTTTTAATAATTAAAAAAATTAAAAAATGACAACAAAACACAGAATAGCAAAAAACACATTACAGTGTTTTGTTGTCATTTTTTTCATTTTTTTAAGTTGCTATTATCCAATTTATTTAAAAATTTCTTATTTTTTTCAAGTTACTTAAAATACTCAAACCTCAGCAGTAACATGTGATATTAGCACTAAAACTAACATTTTCAGAGTTCTTTTGCATCCATCTTCAGGTTATGCAGTCATTGGAATGTAGAACAAATAATAACATGTAAGTGCTAAATTTTAAACAGCACATGAAAATCGTCTTTTAAAAAATGTTCAATACAAATGTCATTATATGTCCAACAAAAAATTTGTTTTACATTTGAATGACTGCAGAACCTGAAAATGGAGGCTTAAGAACTCTGACAACATTAGTTATAGTGCTAATTTCAAAAATTACTGCTGGAGTTTGGGTTTTTTCCAAGACAAACCATCTTGAATTTTAGAATTTATTTTTTATGGGAAAGAAAATAAGCATTATAATAGACATCTAAATTATATAGAGAAGATGCACTAGTAACATGGACAGATACTTTTTAATTAAAACCTGAAGCTATTTTAACATAGCCCNCTTGGGATAGTGTGGACTTGATGTTCTGTGAGTTATGTCCCAACACTTTAGGAATAATCTAAATTCTTCTGAATTGAAGGGTGGACCATTATCAGAAACAATGACTGCAGGAATTCCATGACGCGAAAAGATTGCTTTTAGATTTGTTATGACCAGCTTAGCATTATTGGAACTGACTGATACTAATTCGAAATTTTTAGAAAAGTAGTCTATGACTAGCAAATAAGTAATATTATTATAATTAAAAAAATCTATGCCTACTTTTTGCCATGGCAGGTTGACATGCTCATGTGGAATAAGAGGCTTTGCATTGTTTACTCTTCTGAATTTAATGCAAGCGTGACATTGTTCTACTTTGTTTTTTATATCGACATTTAAGTTTGGCCAATATACAACACTTCTTGCTTGTCTTAGGCATTTTTCGATGCCCAAATGACCTTCAAGAATAATGTCTAATATTTTGGAACGAAGACTTAAAGGAATTACAAGACGACGACCTTTAAACAATAAACCCTCAATGACATGGAGTTCCTGACGTATATTAAAGTAAGGTTTTAATTGACAGTCAAGCTTGTTTCTTGATGTAGGCCACTCAGTAAGACAATATTTCATAATGATTTGAAGATCTGCATCCATCAGGGTCGCTAGTTTAATCTCCTCTAGATGTTCAGGAGATACTGCAAGATTAGTCATCAATAAGTTGGCATGTATACGGAGATCCTCCTCTGGAGAATCCTCTACGTCGGGTGGATCTACTGGAGCCCTACTTAAAGTATCTGCTATGAACAGGAATTTGTCCGGTTTATATGTAACACTCAGATCATATTGTTGCAGATTCAGCATCATACGTTGTAGATGCACTGGCAATTCAGACAATGGTTTCTTAAATAACGTCTCCAAAGGTTTATGATCAGTTTCCACAATGACCCTATGACTGTAAATATATTGACGAAATCGATTACAACCATACTGAATTGCATATAGCTCTTTTTCTATTTGTGCATAACGTGACTGACACTGCACCAACTGCCACCTTTGAGCTATCCACAGACAATGTTAAAGGCTGGTTGGGTTGGAAATAAGTTAAGACTGGTGCATTGCTTATTACTTCCTTTAATAATTGAAACTCTGACTGCTGTTTCTCTGATCAATGAAACACTATATTCTTTTTTTAACAATAGACGTAGGTTGAAGGTTTTATCAGCTAAGTTATCAATGTAAGATCCCAAATAATTTACCATTCCCAAAAAACGTTAAGTTCCGTTATATCCTTAGGTGCTGGTAGGTGACATATTGCACTAACTTTAGCTGGATCAGGACACATTCCATTTTGACTAAAAATGTGACCTAAATACTTGACTTCTTTCATTAGAAAATGACACTTATCTTTATTAAACTTTAAATTGATTTGACAAGCTTTTTCTAGGACTTTTTGCAGTATCTCGTTATGAGATTCTAATGTTTGACTATAAATCAGTATATCATCAAGATATATCATGATTCTTTGTATGTCTGAGAACCAATCAGTCATGATTTTGTGGAAAATTTCTGGAGCACTTGACACACCATAAGGAAGACGTTTAAATCTAAATCTACCAAAAGGAGTATTAAATGTAGTTAACTTCGAACTGTTTTCACTCAGTTTTATCATCCAGAATCCAGACTGTGCATCTAAAGTTGAAAAATACTTAGCACCAGCTAATTTTGACCTCAGTTCTTCTACAGTTGGTAATGGATAATGACATCTCTTTATTGCTCTATTCAGATTTCTTGGATCTAGACAGACTCACAATGATTTATCTTTCTATTCAACAATAACAACTGAATTTACCCATTCGGTAGGCTCACTTACTTTTGCTATAACATCTAAAGATTGCATACGTTCCAGTTCTTTTTTAAACCTTTCGTTTAACATAAATGGTATTTTCCTAGGCGGTTCTATCACTGGTACTATATCTTTGTAAACGGATATTTCATATTCTCCTGGTAGACAACCAAGACCCTCAAATACATCTTTATACTGCGACAGGACTGACTCATGATTATTGATATTAAATACTCTTTTGACTAAACCTAGTCTTTGGATTGTAGGTAGCCCTATAATGGTCTGACTATCAGTATTAGTAATTACAAAATGAATACTAACTGACAAATTATCATTGATTACACCATTGACTAACACCACTCCCAAAACTGGTATATCATTTCCTGAGAATGACGTAAGCCTTACAGTTGTGGGTTGTATTTTTCTAGCAATTTTTAAACTTTTATAATTTCTTATTGACATTATATTAGCCTGAGCACCCATATCCAAATTACATTCTAACACTTTGTTATTAATCTTAAGTTTTAGGATCCACGGCTCACTTAACCAATTGTTATTACTATTAATAGATCTAATGACAGAGATCCGACTTATTACTATCATGGTCGCGATCATCACTAACATTAACATATTTTACTTGTCTAGTGCGACAACATTTCACATAATGACCTACTTTGTTACAAAGCTTGCAGCCAGCATTTATAGCCAGACATTTATTTCGGTGTACCTGTCCACAACGCGTACATAATAATTGATTGTCCTGACCTGTTTGATGAAACCTTAAGAATGACAATAACGATTCTCGATGACCACCTAAGACTTGTCTTCCTTCCGCTACTTGTTGCTTTATTTCGTAGATTTCCATGATGAGTGCTGTTGTGATTGGACTTTTTGACTTTGAGTATCTGTGCATCACTGTTCTTTTCAATCTGCTCCGCCTGACGATGAGTAATTTTGATGCTTTTGGCTATGCTGGTGGCCTTTGTTAAGGTTAAGCCTTCTTCCTGAAGTAGCCTAGCTCTGATGACTTTATTATTTGATGACAAACCTACAATAAACATGTCTCGGACCAAACTCTCTCGGAGACTATCGAACTCGCATGTTAGGCTTAGGTTCTTAAGTGCAGTTACAAGGTCTTCGATTGACTCGTCTGGTTTTTGTCTTCTGGTCAAAAAATTATATCTCTCAATCGTGAGATTAGTTTTAGGTTTGCAATGAGACTCAAATTTTTTTACTACATCCAAATATTGACAATTGTCCATATCCAAGTTAAAGGAATTGAAAACCTGTAACGCATCTTCTCCCACAAAACGTAAAAATATTGCGACTTTACGGGAATCAGTTTCACTTTCTAAATTACTAGCGTGCAAAAATATTTTAAATTTCTGATACCAGATTGACCAGTTATGAGCTAAATTTCCTTTTAATAATAATGATGGAACTGGTTTGTCAGATAGTTCCTGTTGACCACTTAAACGGGATAAAGTTAAAGATGGCTGACCTGCGTTACTGACCGGTGAACTCATTATTTCGAGCTGCTGCTAGTAGGAAAACGACGACGACGACGACTATAATTCTGACACCATGTTATATTATATGTTGTATAATGCACAAGACTGACAAAACTTAAATTATTATTTATTACTACTAAAGAGGAGACACTTGTGATGGGCTGTATGACAGACAACTGACAACCTAATCACTTTCGTTGGCCGCTGTGTGTCGCCACCAGTACATATCGTAACACAGAGGTCCTCTTTGACGATTCTATGCATAGTTTTCTTGCTCACATCAACAACTGACAACAATTTTCAGATCAACTGACCTGGATCCTCAAAAATCAGCTCCTGAGCCCTTTGAATGATTTCAGCTGTCTTGACAATGCACTTCCTTGGGTGAGTTTTCCTTGCCGGTGTTGTAAAACCTTTGTTGGACTTCTCTTGTACTCATTGTACAGTAATACTTCGACTTACGCTACCCCGACTTATGCGAACCCAGAGTTACGATTTTCAAATCTCGTCGATTTGTCTTTTGTTTGAGCGCCACGCAACTCTTGATTACTCACTCCCCCCACACTATTGTTCAGCTTACATGTTCAGACGTGTCACGCAGAATCGATGCATAGCTACAATTTATTTTGTGTTATTTATTTCTGTGTTTGTTATATCTACAGAGACTTGAGAGACTATGTGGTGATTTCTTGTAACTGTGAATGAATCAAAAGATGAGATAAGATTAATGAGAACATTTATTAGCTTACATACATTTGACTTGGATTTTACACAAATTGCGAAATTATACCCTGACTTATGCGAATTTGACTTACACGGTTATTGCTCGGTCCCACCTGTCGCATAAGTTTGGGATATTACTGTACTTTGCGATGACATCATACACAGTCGATATCGGGTACCTGAAAAACCGAATGATTTCTGCTGCTGAATGCCCAGTGCAAACACTTTTGTTAATCGCGGCTCTTCGGTTATACTTTGTACTTGGTTTCAACATTGCAACTGTTTCGAGTTATGATGATTTAGTATATGTGTCAAACTATTTGAATGTCAAACATGACATCTACCTGTAGTATAGAACAACAGGAATTTGAAATTGAATTTTGTCTGGATTTTGGTGCCCCGCACCATGTATAACACATCAATAGAATGAAACTTTCTCTAGTTCAATTTTTGCTATACAGTGGGTGATTGGTTAATGAACATAATCCTATCCAAGACTTTGTTTATTATCTAAATTGTTCATTAATCGATTATCAATTTTCGTAGGTTTTTATGGGAATTTGATTAATTCATTCTGGGGACCCCAAAAAATAAAAAATATATACATTCTTACTACATTTTTTATATGTGTAATAATAAAAATACATATACACAGTCTTGCGTTTTTATTAGTCATGTTTTTTTCCATTTGTGGGGTTAACCCCCACAAATGGAATCTGTCTGATATCGATTGCTTTTCTCTCTTCTTCAGGATTTTTCAGAAGTAATTAATAGCATTGTAATTTTAGAGATCTCAAGCCTATTAATCTCAACCTGGTTTGGATGCCATTGTAAGATCATTGTTCTGATATCTTCCCACTTCAAAAAATCTTTAATAGCAGATATCGGCATTAATCCTCTTTTTCAGAAGAAAAACATATCTTGCTGAGTTTCTTGGCATTCTTCCTTCAAGAGTTCTTGGCGTTCTGTCATCAGATTAGTTTAGATTATGAGCTTTTCAATGTTCTTTATTTCTCAGATGTGATTTTTGTTACTCCTTTAACTGATTGAGTCGTCTTGATTATACTGTTTCTTTTTTAGATAAGGTTGAACTGCAGCCTACTGTAGACCTGTTCAAGCCATACTGCCCAACAACAACAGACATCAGACATCTGTCCACTCTCTACCTTTGCTATTATACTCTCATCTTTTGAAAATAAAAATTGACACAAAACTTAATGAGTGCCCTCCCAAAAGTATCACGAATACTATAAAAGAATTGTTTTTGTCAGAAAAATAAAAGGCTGGAATTACAAGGGAGAGTTTCAAAGTTCAGAGGAATACTATTTGATCAGTATATATCGGGTTGAGCGTTGATGGCGTCATCTCCCGCACTTCGAAAAGTTTCAAATTGTTGTGTGAAGACAAGGGAAGACTAATCGATATTCATTATTTTATGTCTGTTCTTGTGTTTGTTCTGTGAGGTGTTCATTGTCTGAATATAAAAATCTTTTGTGAAAGTTGTCGTTATCTGATTTGTTTGTTAACCGAACACCACTGTATATATTGTGTACACACACACACCCCCCACAAAATAAAACTTCTAATCTTGAATCTCTGCTTAAATCAAAGTGGATTGTTGGTTTTGGCAAACACCGTGTTGAATGTATTTTCAATAAGCTGAATTAGTCAAACTCAGCAGGTTCCAACCAATCTAAGTTTACTAAGTTATGCTAACCCTTTCAGCACAAAATTTTATAAAGTAGTTTTTAAAACAATTGGGTAAGCAAGCCAATGAGAAGTTGCCAATTTTTGTGGAAAATTTGCTAAATATAACTTTCCTATAGTCCTGTAGCATCATCAAGCACCTATAAATTTGGCTCTTTTTCTTTTTCATAGCAAACAGAGAAGGGAAACTGCAATTACTAAAGTCTATTTTAGCATTTTGTCTTTTAATTTCTATTGGAGAAGGTTTTATGGGGCATTATGAAACACCACTTGTAAGTACTGGACTGAGCATTAACCTCTGTTAGTATATTATGGACTGCTTTATAACATTTATGGCTACAGATTATTGAATCAATGCCAAGTCATCAGGTTCAGGCTGCTAAAAAGTGAACCAACCAAATATTAGAAGGATTGTTGCAATTCAATGAACACTCAATGGATAAGAAATGTATGTTTGAATTTAAGTTATTTATTTATTTAATTACTCTTCTAAAGCTAAAGTATAGAGAATTAAAAATTTTTAATAGTTGGAATTTGGTAAAATATTGTGCATTTATTTTGTATTATTTAAAGCAATAGATACTTTTAATTTATATTTTATTGATCAATTTGAAATTGTTTTTTATTTTAATAGGAAATATATGAAAAACTTATTAGTGAAATGCATGAATATTACAAAGATGAAAAGCCTATTCAGAAGATCATTGAAGGACAATTATATGCTGCATATTGGGATAACTGTTGGAATAGGATTCGTGCAGTTAATGTAATGGAAGAATTGGTAAGTGTTTTAATATAATTGCTTTTTTACACAAATATAAAGATCGATAAACCTGATTTTTAGATTAAAGCCAAACAATTGCCAGATTACGTCAGGCTGTATTAATGCTACTAACCATTAATTAAATTAATATAGCAATATAACATTAATATAGCCAAATTTAATCAGCAACTATATGCTTTTCATAATTTAAATATTTTCCAAATTCATATATTTTTATACATATTTAATATATTTTTAATGTTAAATTAATTACTGTATTCTCAACCTAGAACCATGTTTCTAGCAGTCATGTTGGAAAATGAGACATTACTGGGCCATGGAGGATTTTGAGGAGCAATATCAAATTTATAGCCAAGCATATTGAAATGAAACTTTAGCAATATTTTGGTGACTTTTTGACCATATTTAATCATAAAGCACTGGCAATGCTGAATATAACTCTGATGTCACTGGACATCATATATTCATTTACACATTAATCCTTGTGTTTTTCTTTTCTATTTTCTATTGAAATATGCTACAAAATAGTAACATATGTTTTTTTCACTATTAATGTATATGAGGGAACTACAAAGATAAACTATGGCCAGAAGGGGAACATTAGAAAAAACAGGTTGAGAATTACTGATTTAAATAACTCTTTCATGTTATGTAAAGTACATTGTATATTTAACTAAAAATTAACTGCATTTAACCATTCATATTTTGACTCTGCAATGCTCTCATTGAATTTGATTGAAAGATAAATTTTTGTTTGGTTGAATTTTCTAATTTTTTTCATTAATCATAAATAAAATATATTAGATAGTTTTTTAATCTTTTGATGAAGTATATAATTAGCAACATTTAATACAGATGTTTATTTTAAAACCAGTTTTAACTATTGCTATATGTATTTTCCTATTTTTTGGATTTGTATTTAGGGTCTGAGATTGCAAAAAATTGAGAGGATCAAATGTGACCCAATTACAATATTTTCCTGTGTTATATATATAACAACTGGGAAAATAAAAAGATTGATAACTGCAACAATAGGATATATTTTAAAAGAGATAAGTTTACACACAAAACTAACTTCAAATGTAATTACTAATTAATTGATATTAGATTATATAATCATTTTAGAAAAATAATGATTGGCAAAAATTTTTTAAATGTGTATTCAGGTCATTTTTTCAATTATGATAGTTTTATAAATGATTTTTTAATTACATATCTTGTATTACCAGAAGTCTTGAAGGTTATCTTTCATGCCATGGTTAGTCATATATGATTTATTTCATATCTTTCAAGACAACTGATGTTTTTATTTAAAATGTTCATTTATATCAAAGTGTAGCATAATATGTTCTGTGAAATTGATTAATGTTAATTAAAATTTCTTTAATTTTAAATTTAACTTTAAATAACATTAATAATAATAATAATAATAATCAGCGCAGAGTCCAAACGGTTAGGAGTTGAAAGTTGAAATTTTATACATGGTTACGGTACGTCACGAGAACGCACACTAAGAAGGGATTTTTTCTAAATTCCCCCAGGGGGGAGGGACAGGATTAAGGCTTTGACAATGGAAGTGTTAAGTAAGAATGGAAGTGTTAACTGCTTTANTAAAGAGGTAATGTTTGTATGTATGTAAGTTTCTTTGCAGCAGGTAATCTCCGAAACTACTCATCCGATTTCAAAAATTCTTTCACCAATATTTAGAATAGAACCTCAGGGTGGACATAGGCTGTATATTATTCCGTTAAACATTCATATAAATTAAAAAATATAATCTAGGTTAAGGCTTTTATGTCCAAAAGATGGCGCTACAAGTACGACACCCTAAGTTTGCTTTTCTGTGAAAATGAACTAAAGCAGATCATCTTCTATCTATCTATATTAGGGGTCCCCAAAGTGGTCGATATCGACCCCTTGGGGTCGATAAGAGTTCTCCAGGGGTCGATTAATACACGAGGGTCGAAAGGGGGTCAATTAATATCAAAGATGATCAATTAAATTGTCTAGGAAAAAAATAGAATATTCCAATAAAAATTTGAAATACTGATATGATCAACAACACTACTGACTATTCTAGTTATAACTTGAGTTTTGCCTTAGCTTACGCCGCTTAAGCTTGTGTTACTCTGTTTTCACGCACCTGGCAACTGTACTAGTGTTGCAAACATATTATGAACTCTGGTAGTTCATTATACACAGACATACATTCACTCTAGTTGGGTTGTCACTCTAAGTATTTTATATTTAAATGTAGATATTTTGTCCTTTACGGAGAAAATATCGTAATATAGTACAGAAGCGTTTGCAAGAAAAAATGGCCTTTCAAGTAAAAATGGAGCAATTTAAATCTTCACTGGCACAATCTGATTTTAAATATTTTTCAAACTTGCGAGTACTAAAAGAAAATGAAAAGGTTCCCGACCCGTTAAACATCTTGATAAATTAAGATAAGACTTTAAAGCACGTTTCGAAGAATTGGAGAATATGCATGTTTCCAAATGGTTTGCTAATCCATTTGATGTAAAAATAGATAATGAAGGTAGTGAACCTGGCTTAGAAGATGAATCGAGTGAAATATGTGTAGATCTCGAATCTAAAGCGTTGTTTAAAAATAAAAACCTCAGTGAATTTTGGAGCAATAACAATANGAGCATTCTAAACTAGAATTCTTTATTAACTTTCAAATGTAATGCTTGAATTTGAAGCAGGTTTCTTAAATAAGCCAAAGACGTTTGTATGTGCTAATAAATTACTTTGCTGGAAAAAGTGTGTATGGTGATTTGTGATTCAATTGCATCTTTTATTTATATCATAATATTTTTAATGCTAATAGTGTCATTTAGAAATCTCTCTCTCTCTCTCTGTTAGGTTCAGATCTGCCAGATTTAAATCTGACAAAAGCCGGATTCTTTTCATATTCTGTCACTATTTGACAGAAGCCTAAGAAATGTTTAATACTGATTCAGTTAATAAAAGCATGCTTTATAATAACTTTAATGATTTTTTAACAAATTTGAATTGATAAATTAATTAATTATTTGATTGTGTATGAAAAAAATTTTAATTTATAATAATAAAATTGTGAATTATTTAAAATTCCAATTTATTTTGAAGGACCCAACATTTTTACTAGTAAGTTTTAATTGGAATGAATTATGTTAATATATGGGTATCTCTTGCTTAATGCGGGATTTGATTAACATGTGAAATTAATTGTGGCAATCCTTTTATATACATGGCATAAGACTTAATTTATGTGACTTTACCAGCTGTCTTTACTTAACATAAATGCCATCTTTTGATATATGTGGTAGGATCAAGGGATTAATTAGTTGTGTTAATCAAGGGATACCTGTAATTAATTTATCTGTGTTTTTACTATTTGTTTCTGTTAACATAACTTATTTGGAATTTTATATCTGTTGAAGAGCATCTGTTGTTAATTTATTCTAGGCAATAAAATGCCAGTTATATGGGCTCATAGATTATGCTGACAACAAAATCATGCTGCATCATTTAACGGATAAAGATTTAATATTAGGAAAAACGCTAGTTGCTGAAGTTGTTAATAGGTAAATTTATTTAAAATTTTTGATAATTTATATATAATTTGACTGGAATATATTTTCATTATCTTAACTAAACCTTGAAAGTTTATTCTGAATAATAAAATGTAAGAAATATACATGCAAATTCATAAAAAATTTTTTAAAAATATGTTAATGATATGCCTGTATTTTTTTCTAAATAATAAGTGATATTCAATTGTGGTATTGAAATGAATGAAATAAGAAATGTACAAATGGTAGGAATGTGATAATTTTATATAAATTTCAATCTGAATAATAATAAATTTTCATAGGCAAATAAAGTTTTGGCTTTTTTTGGCATACATGCCACAATACATAACTAAATATTACTGAATGTTTTCCAACAGTAGAACATTGTTTGTTAGTTAAAAATACTGATTTGTATCTGGTGAAAGAACATTCAACATCACAGGAGGTAATGGGAGCATACTTAAAACATAGTTTCCTAGACTGTTAGTTTTTCTAGGGTTACTATAGAAGCATTTTCTTTACCTCTTACTACACCTGCAATAAGCTTCAAATGCAGTATATTACATCTATTGATACAAAAGCATCTTTGCTAGTCACTAAATTTTTTCACCTTCTGACTATTTCCAAAGACAAGAATTATGAAAGATGCAAAATTGCATCACAAAGAAAATGGAAATCAGTTTGAATGTATCAGTTTCTCTCATATCTGATTCTTCTGAAATAACAATCGTGCTACATGTATGAGGAGAGAACTCTCCAAAAAAAATTCTCTTTTGGATGGTGGGCTACTTCTAATTCAATCTTTCTGTTTAGGTGAATGTTCAATGAACTTGTCTGCATCTATTTTCCAGATGGCATTGTTGTGAAAAGCCATATTTTGCAATAGTGAACTTCTTTTCAAAATTTTTCTGTTTTTCTATCTATTTTTTGATGTGAGAGGGACTGTGCATTTGTTCCTCCGGGTTAAAAGATTAACTATAATTTTTGTCTGGAAGTTTTGAGAAAGTTGCATCAAGATCTGTGGAAGAAACATTTTTCACAAATCTTGATACAATCTTCAGTAACCTTAAGAAAATCATATATACCAAAAAGCTATTGTGAAATTTCTCATTCATTTACTTTTTTAAGTGATCTTGAAACTTGATAATCATTTTGGCAGAAACATTTTATGCATTTTGGTGACTTCAATTTTTTTGTTTTTAACTTTACTTGTTTTAACATTGGACTATGTTCAAGCTTCAGTTTTTAATTAAAAATTATTTGTCCATGTTGCTAGTGCATCTTCTCTATATAATTTAAATGTCTATTATAATGCTTATTTTCTTTCCCATTGAAAATAAATTCTAAAATTCAAGATGATTTATCTTGGAAAAAACCAAAACTCCATAATTAATGTATCTTGAGTTATGGCAAACAAATGAGTAGGTTTCCCACCATGACAGCACTTTTACCTATACTTTGCTGAGTGTTCAGCAGTTTTTGGTCTGAAACAGTATGACCTTGTGCTTCACCTTCCTTATTTAGTTGATCTTTCTCCATTGCAACTTTTTTGTTTCCCCAGATGAAAAAAGTTCTCTAAAGATAAAGATCTTCTGATGTGGAAGAGGGGAACCAAAAAATGGCAGAGAGCTAAAAGACATTAAAATTGATGAATTCAAAAAGTGTTTTAAGCAGTGAGAAAAAACATCTTGATAAGTGCATTTCATCAAACAGAGAGTACTTTGAAGAAGGCAACTCAAGTTTGAACAGTAAAAATAAATACATAATTTTTTTATAAACAAATTTTAGTTTTTTCTTTTTGCAATTAGTGACCTCTTCTCCATGAAGCTACATAACTACATTTTTTATTGTTTCAAAACTATGGCATAATATTTAACAACATTTAATCAAGAGCTCCATTGAGTAATGGAGATACCAATGACTATGAATTTTCCACAGTTTCTATAGAAGTCACATGTAAATTATGGACTTACAGAATATTCCTCTAAAAACAGCAGAACGATCATTTACATTCTCAAACAAGTGTGCTAATTTAAAAACACATTTAGGTGTTTTATTCATATAGAATTGCTAGTATGCTGAATCTCAAATCAGTCAGTTCATACCAATACTGTGGAATGTAGGCTGAACAGATGAATATGCCTATTTTGCAAGTGGCTAACTAGGGGTCTGTTTAAAAATTGTTCCTATGCACTTCTGAATTTCATGGTTGTACTAAAACTGTCAAAAATGACTCATGCTTGCTTCTATAAGTGATATGTGATTATCTGACATCACAATCAAGCATACTGCAAAAGCCCAAGTAAAAGGACTGTGTAATGTGTTTATGACATAGACGAAATGGTGGATTACATCAATTATACAAATTTTATTCTATCAAATGATAAATATAAAATTTATTTTTAAAATCCATTACAGAATAATTTATAAATGAATATTCAAAATTTTAAGAACTCTACAGTTAAATGGGGTTTTTTCTATTTATATATTTAATTACTTTAGATTTATTTTATAAATTTAATTATATTTTTTTCTATATATATAAAATACTTGGAACACTTAGTCATGATGATTTTATTACAAAATAAAAAAATAGAAGTAGCAGCACAGGAAATAGATGAATTATCAGAAAACTTTTTAATTTGGGCAAGCAGGTGAAGCTCCTTAATAATAATATCATCTGAAACAAATTATAAAATTATAATTTGAAAACATTAGATTAAGTTCTAAAACAAAATTAATTAAGCTAGTTAATCAATAGTTTATAGAATATCTTAAAATTTGATTAATGACATCATATCAGAAGTGGATGAAGAATTGCTTCTCTGCTCTCCAATTGTTACATATGCTTCTGTGCTACCGATGACCCTCTTCTGAGGTTGGCATATTTAGAATGGTAACTGGTTGTAGTGGGAGTGGAAGATTGATAAATTCATGAATAATTCCACTTTTTTTTATCCATATTGCTGTATTTTCTTCTTGTATTCTCAGCTACTCTCTGCATTGTATGTGAAAAATATTTTTAAATGTTCTCATTTACACTTTTCAATAAAAGTACACAACTTCTTCATAACAGTTGTAACAAAAAAACAGAACTTTATTTTCTTCACAATGTGAACAACACTCTGGCACCTGACACTCAACAAAGCATGACACTGACTCTCCACATGTCACTGAAATCAGTACTGACACACACACAAAAAGAATCTACAAATTTCTTTATTCCCTTGTTTTAAGGCAGGAAAACCTCACCCACGTTCTTAAGGGATTACAAAAGATATTTCTATGTCATGTGACAATTTTAGTTTAGTTTCATAACTCAAACATTGAAATGAATTTATGTCACATAAATTAAATTCACACAAAATCAAATAGTAAATCAAACTTAACATCACATGTAAGTCATGTAACATGTACTATTTTAGAATATCACACACTAACTTTTTGACTGGCCTTTTTCATTTAAGTGCAGCACTAATAACAAATAAAAAAACAGAATCATAAAGTGTCATTTGGTCACATCACACTTGTTTAATGATTAAACAGTTTTATAATTGTTGTTTCATTGACAACTTCCATCAGAAGGAAATATGTTTTTCCACATCCATTCATATTCAGTTTCCATTATCATGTTTGCTGCTGCATGATTTGCACTGTTCCTCATTTCATCAATACTAAACAAAATTATTTCGTTTTTTACTTCTCAATGAATTCTATTTATTATTTCACAATAGCTTTTTGGTAGATATGATTTTTTTAAGGTAAATTTATCTGGGATATGCTTTCTTGTATATTTCTTTAAAAACCTTTGAAAACATTGTAGTTCTGTAGCATACTGAAATACGACAGTGTGAAGGTGAGGGTAAGATTGATAAGGACTGTACAAATTAATAATGTACAAAACAGATTTAATCAGAGAATGATATAATTCTGAGGTTCATTTACAATTAAAAATATAGATGGGAAATTCATCGTCCTTTCTAGCTTGACACAGGAACGAAAAAAAAAAAACAATCAATTGTAACTTACGTGGCGCGACAATTTGGGATCTTTTAGGTTAGGACTAGTACAAATATTCTTACAAAGACGATGATAGTTGAGTCCTCTATGTGATGTCTCTCTCTCTCTCTCTCTTGCTATGCTGATTCCCACTTCCACGTGGTTATTCTTTTCTTCCTCTTTCTTTCTGCACTTCAACTTGATTCCTCTGTTGCAGACTGCACATGATCCAGGAGAAAAAAAGTACTCTCACACATGTGGCCCTTCCATTTATAACCCATGCCATATACATGACAATGGTAACACACGTCAGAGCTCGGGCTAATCACGGGCTTGCACCACCACATCGCAAGATGTGATACATATTTACGGAATAAATTACAACATACCCTGATACGCAACAATATGAAATATATATATATATAATGAAGACATTACATATACTTAGTAATAATCACTACAACATGATTATTTAGTTTGATAAGAAGGATATATATCTGCTGACTGGAATGTTGAACATAGATCTATGTTAAATTGAGATATCTTATCTGTAGTGATACTCAAATTATTCCCGCTCTTTAAAAATTGAAAATTTTGACTATAGAAACTAAGTTTGTCTTTTTTTCTATATTTATCCTTTTCATTCCAGTCCTGGAACCACAAAAACAGCTGTCTTCTGTGTACAATTATGCAAATAATTCTAAATTGCCCGAAAATCCACCAGAGGACTTTCAGCTTATGTGACTATATAACAAGAGTGGTGTCGAAGAGTTTTTACTGATTTTTAATGTTTGCAGACGTTGTAGCCTATAAGAAATGGTCAACATCGAGATCATTTTTAATTGTGTGTGAAGTTTTTTTGATTGCATTTTCCTGTTATTTTTAGATGATTTTTTTCTTCAATTTGCCAGCTGTTTTTGTGGTTCCTGGACTGGAATGAAAAGGATAAATATAGACAGAAAGACTGAAACTTAGTTTCTATAGTCATAATTTTTAATTTTTGAAATAAGTTAAAATAATCCTGGGCTTCTATGTATTCCCACTGTTACTTGTCAACAAACTGTCATAAACCAGCTTTGTTTTTAAATGTTGCTTACTTGAAACAGCTTACCTGATCTAATTTTATTTTTTCATATATTTACAGAAAAGTATTTTTCCATAATTGAAATTAGATTTTTCAAATGTATATACCTACAAATTTAATTTATTAGCTTTTGTTGGCACCATGTTTTCAACTTTGTACACTGGCTACTTGAAATTATAAAAGACTGAAGTATTTATTCATGTTCCTTTATGCATTGCACAAATTTTAGATATTTTATTGTTGCCAGATCATGGGAACTGGAACTCTCCACATTTGTATTCTACATCACATTTTTTTAAAATTTGTAGAAAGTGTCATTTTCTATTTCCATTATTTTGATGCAGTGTATGTCATTAATTTGTTTTTAATATTTAGTCTTACTACTATGTCTTATAGCAAGTATAGTGATCAACCCATTTTCAGGTCCTTTGTACACATCTGCAGTTACTCTGTACACCTGTGTATACCTACTCCGTCCTATGCTTGTAAATGGGTTAAAATCTAGAAAATTTAGATTGTGATGTTATTCTTATATAATCCATTTACATTTTAGATCAGTAAATTTAATTTTCTTACTGTTTAACAGGTCTTTCTTTTTTTTGTATGTGGATAAAAAGCCAAATGTACAAATCAAAAAATTGATACAAATTAAAACGTTTTGATGTTGAACAACAAAAATAAAAAAATGAAAAAAAAATAGTAATATTTTCGTCATTCCTAAAATATTTCATGTCATTATTTGCTTAATATATATAATCATTTCATGCACAAAAATGCTTATTTTGTGGAAGATATGATCTCATTGACCTATTTGCATGCAATATATTGTAATATCAAAATTATATCAAAATATACTTTCATGGCATGGCTCAAAAACTTTATAAAGCCATGAAAAATTTACTTTTATGCATTTTTTTAAGATATAAAGATGTTTGGAAAGATATGCATTTGCACGAACTTCCAGGCCTTACTTATATTTTTGTTTTATATGGTAGATCCTTATTTTGTGACTGCAAAATATGGATCTACTTTTGATTGCCTTCTATTTTTTTGATTATATGAAATTATATTTAAGTAAATTTTTATCATGTAGTTCAAAATTATTTCAAGAAATAGAATTTCAATTCAAATTTATGATACTGAGCTATGGAAAATTATGTAATATTTGTTTGTTTAAGAACGAATTAATTGTAAAAGTGGGAGTTTATTGTATTTGATTTCAAAATATTAATAATTTATTTAATTACGTTACAGAGAAGAACCAATTTCTTTAATATTATATGATACATCAACTGAGGAAGATATCAATTTGAATCAGTATCTTATAGAAATAACTGAAAAAGAAACAATAACACCAAAATTACCAAAAGTGAGTATAATGTAAATGTTTTAATACTATATTGTATTACAGGAAATATTAATGTTTGTTGGTGCTGTAAAGAGAAGAAAAATGGTTTTATATAAAAAATGTTTGACATAACAATCTATTAAATATTGGGCCTACCGGAAAGTTCTGTCTGTTTCAGTTACAACAAGTTTCAACAACCATGCGCATATTCATTTGATGCATATTTGGCTCTCTGTTTTTATCACTGAATATATACATACTTACCTAGCAAATGAACTAAAATGAAGATGATTCATGTTAGTATTAAGTGAGATGTGATCGTATACACATGGCTACTGATAAAGTTCATTTACGCCACTGTATTTTGTATGAATTCCAATAAGGTAGAAATGCTGCAGAAGCATGTAGAAATTTATTGAAAGTGTTTGGTGAAGATACAGTTTCTGATAGAACATGCAGAAGATAATTCGAAAAATTTCAAATAGATGATTTCAACCTTTCTGATAAGTCATGCTCTGGGCAATCATCTTTGATCGACAAGAATACTGTCAAGATCATGTTAGAGCAAAATCCTTTTTTAACAACATCGGAGATTGTGGGAAAGTTTGACTGAGCACAACAAACCATTTTGAATCATATTCGGATTGGTGTGGAAATATTCAAGATGGGTGCCACATAAGTTAAGTGAGAAGAATCTGAATGATCGAGTCATCATAGGCACATCTCTGCTTGCATGGAATAAAATCGAACCTTTCTTGTACCGGATGATAACTGGGGATGAAAAGTTGATTACCTATGAAAACATTGTAAGGAAGAGGGCATATAGTGAATCCGGAAAACCTGCCCCTTTATCTCTAAATCAAAGTTGAGCCTGAATAAGAATGTTGTGTATATGGTGGGACATTCGAGGACCAATACATTTTGAGCTGTTAAAACCAAACAAAAAAGCTAAATTCGGAGCACTACTGTCAGCAATTGGATAATTTAAAAACAGCACTCCAAGAAAACAGGCTGGCGATGTTCAATAGAAAGGACATCATACTGCTTCATGATAATGCCAGGCCACATACTGCTTTGGGGACTCTTCAGAAACTCGCAGAGCTAGGCTGGGAAATTCTGTCGCATCCACCATACTCCCTGGACCTAGCACCCTCCGATTATCACTTGTTTCTGTCCTTACAAAATTTTTTGCAGGGCAAAAAATTCAAAAAAGAAGATATCAGACAAGCACTGGTTCAATTTTTCACCTCTAGAGATAAGGCATTTTTTAAAAATGGAATATATAAATTGCCATCACGCTGGAAAGAAGTCATAAATAATGATGGAAATTATATTATTCAATAAAGTCTATTCAAAATTTATGAAAAATTTATTATTTTGTTTTATTCTAAAAACAGACAGAACTTTCCAGTAGACCTAATATATACAATTGAACCAGTCTATTTTGAATCTCATGGGAACAAGAAAAAATTTGAAGTAGACATTCGTACACGGTAAACAGTAATAGGTTTGATTGAAGGTATTAATATAAAAGCAAGTACATACCTGCCTTAGATATAAATAAAACATTTTTACATATCTTAACATTAATAGTTTGTAAATAGTTTCCAGTACCTGACTTTCTTCAATCAATAAGATGCATTGTCTTAGCCCACCAGTGGTCAAGTGGATAAACCACTGAACACTAGTAGTTGGTTATGAGTTTGCATTTTGCCAATAGACTCACCATATGAAATTTTCTGGGTTTTCTTCACATATGTAACATTTAAACATGTGCCAGTTTCCCATAGAATGTCTTCCAGGGAGCATTCCCCTTGGCAGATCACCCATATGTCACATTGCCATAAACAAGTTAAACAAATCAAACAAAACTTGTGTTCAATTAGCATTGATTCAACTACATACTTTATTGCAAGAGATGTTTCTCAACTACAATTTATACTATCAAAAAAGTTGCTGAGCTTTTAAACTGTAATTAACTTCAATCCATAATTTGAGATAGAGAGGTTTTAGGAGAAAATTTTATGAGATGTAAAATGTATCGAATTTAAGCTGAAAATGCAAGGGGAAAAATAAATTGTTAGATAAAGTGGATTTTAAGATAAATGTGTTTGAGATAGACAGGTTCAGCTGTATTTTGAATTTAATTGGATTAATTATTTTTATTTCATAAACAACAAAATATTAATAGATACTAATTGATAGTATATTTGTTTAATACAAGGGCTGTTTCTTTTTCAACCTCCATGGTCCATAAAACAAAGACAAGAGTAAACAATAAAATCAATTTGTTACCATAAGTTAGATACCAACATGGTTACTTTTTGACATAATCACCGTGAAGATTGAGGCATTTTTCTTATCTGTGGACGAACTTTTCCATTCTCTCTTCATAGAATGTTGCCGCCACTGATTTGAGATGGCCTTAACGACGACATTTTGAAGATCATCATTAGTCTCAAACCTCTGCCTCCCAGCCACGTTTTCATTTCAGGAAAGAGGTAGAAGTCTTCACCACTTTTAAACAATCAGCTTAAAGCCCCAGTTTAGCACCAAACAATTTCCTCCTCTTTTTTGAACAGAAAAAGTGGCTAGGCAGACAGGTTTGAGACTAATGACGATTTTCAAAACATCATCATTAAGGCCATCTCAAGTCACTGGCAGCAACATTCTATGAAGAGAGGATGGAAAAGCTCATTCATAGATAAGACAAATGCCTTAATCTTCACGGTGATTATGTCAAAAAGTAATCATGTTTGTACCTAATTTATGGTAATAAATTGATTTTGTTATTTACTTTTGTATTTACAGTATTTTATGGACCATTGGAGGTTGAAAAAGAAACAACCTATGTATATGAATTTTAACTAAAAAAAAGTTGATACTTGTTATGTCTTTAAATGTAAATATCATTTTTGATAATGCAGAGTTTTGTAATTGAAAACTTTGATTACTAATTAGTAAATTAATAAAAATTAAAAGTAATGATTAAATTCTACATGCCTCCTTGTTTATTTTTATTAATGTAAATTTTTTTAATCTATGCATTATAAACTTTATAATTTTTGTTGTTACAGTTTTAAACTAAATTATAATTTTGCAGATAGGTGGTATAACTAAAGTTTATCTTAGTCATGTTGATAACAATGGTGATATATATGTGCAAGTAGTTGGACCTGCATTAGAACTATTACAGAATATAATGAATGAATTTAATACTCAATGTGAAGTAAGTGGATTATACAGTATAAATATTAATTTTATTATATTGAGAGTATTTTTTTCTATAAAAAAGTTTATTATTAGTATATTTTTATTATTAAAAAGATCATTTAATAAAACTAACTTAAAATTATATTTAAGGTTGTAGATTGAAGGAGGAATATCATAAATTCAGGAAAAAATTACATTTTTCTAGTTTTGTAATGTGTGTTAATTTTTACACAGAGAGAATGATATTGGTCTTTCAAAAACATTAAAATGAAAAAATATCAGAGTTAATGTGAAGTTTATATTTAAAATCTATAATAATTAACTATTGATGGATACAGTAGTTATTTTTATCTGTAATAAATACAGGGATTTTCAATGTAGGTTGTACTGATATGTCATGCAGCCTATACCTTGTTGATTAATTAGGAATGATAAACTTAGTATATACATAGATTTTATTCACAGTTATTTTGTTTGAACAGGAGTGTGTATGCATATTTATCTCAAATTGAATTTTTTTTCACTTGTGATTAAGAACCTGAGGCTAAAATTATTGGAAATTCCCATTATATAAAGTGCAAATTAATGAGGTTCTGTTACAGTATAAATATTTAAGAATAATTAATATTATTTTAAAATTATTTTAGAAAATTTTAGAGAATGTGAAGTCCTTGAAAATGGGAAAAATGTATTGTATCAATTATTCTAATAATTGGTACCGAGCAGTCGTAAAAGTAATGCCATTTGAACAGAAAAATAAGGTAAGTTTAAATGAATATGTTGTTTCAGTAACAAATTAGTTACAGTTTGCTTTAATAAATGAAATCTAAATATATAAATGAGGATGTTTGTTTGTTTGTTCTCTATGCATGCCTAGGTCATTTGACCAATTGCTATGAAACTCGGCAGTTATGTTCAAGTAACTCTAACTTAGATAACATTGTATATATTATCCCAAAATATTGATAGGATTTTTATATATCAATCAATTTCTATCTACTTTTGATATTTTTAAGATACTAAATATAATACTTACAAAAAAGAATATAATTTTAAAAAGTTTATATTATATTCACTTAATTACTACAACAATGATATAGCTCGAAATAGATGCATTATTATGCCAATACTGCAACAGTAGCTTATAGCACTTGCCTGCATGGATTGGAGTTGTGTTTTGCTCCTGTACATCTTACTTTTCCTGTTAGCAATAAAGTCATGTTGGTTATGTATCTAACTCTGTTCAGGGAAATTTCTGTATTGAAATAACATGACTTGCAGTGCAAATTAGAAGTTCTTATATAGTTAATCTGGTCCTTGTGCTCATTAGCATTCCACATCTGGTCTAAATCTGGTCTTCATCTATCTAACTCCGTTCTCGAGATTGAGGAAGGATAACTTTCAAAAGTTTCTTTAACTCAGGTGTTTTTGCTGAGCTTAACTTTTTCAATCTGGTTTCATCAGTTATTATTTTTTTTTATGGGATAACATAAAAGCAATTATTCTTGCATTTTTACAATATTATTTTTATTTTAACAAGTCTTATATTAAGTCTTTCAGATGTTAATGTTAGCAACTTGGATCACATGTAGGCCCATTAAATCTATTTAATGCAGATCACTTTTCAAACATTAATAGTTGATCAGTATTAATTCATAGTTGTTGACCATTCTCTCTTCCAGGAGGAGGTCAACTACTACTATTTATCAAATTAACTTCAACTCCCTTCTTTAACAGTCCCTTCTTCCTTTCTGACGCAGAAGTATGGTAGTATTCAAAAAGGAAAATTATATAATACAAGGCTATCATCAAGCACAAAATATGTTTTTGATGGTTTTCAAGGGTGTTGAGTTTAAATATTTGGTCTATTTTTCAGAAAATTTGATTTGTTGCCAGATTACTGTTTGATATTTCGTTGTAAATGGAACAGTTTGCTAGAGCTTACATTAGAAGAAAAAATGATATAGTAAGAAATTGAAGATATCATATTTTCAATTGGTGTCTACTTGACCAATGAAATTGTGCAATTTCGTACCAACCAAGTATCACAATAAACATGACAATAGTAGGCTAAAATAACTAAACCTTTTATATGGTTGTTTTAATGTTTGTTATGTACTATAATATATTTTGTAGTATTTGATTTATATAAGTACAAATGTTATCTTATGTAAGAGTTTAGCACACCAAATGCCCAATCTAACACATTTTAAAAATTCTTTAAATTGTGTACAGTTGAGGAATAAAGAATTTTTAAAATGTGTTAGATTGGTTTAGTGCAATAAATCCTTACATAAGATAACCTTTGTAGTTATATAAATCAAATACTATAGTACAGGTTAACCCTTGTATAACACAGGAGTTATGTTCCAAAAAGTTGCCATGTTATGTGAATCCGCATTATATGAAACAAAGAACTAGTACAAAAAGGGGGGTTAGGTTCCAAAAATTAAAAAACGTTGTTATATTTTCATAATTAAGATAAATATCTTTATTAAAACTTTCTTAAGAAGTGATACATATTAATATAAATTAAACAGTGTTTTCTTTGTCATCACTAAGCACTATTAACCGAGGGTGTTTTCTTTTTGGCAAAATATCCTTATCCTCTGAGCATTTTTCTGCATTATCTTCAGATCATTATCTCTACCTTTTGCAAAAAGTTTGTTATTTTAGATTGCTTGCTTTTAGTTAAAAGATCTTTTATAAATTTCCTTTATAAAGATCTTTATAAAGCAATTATGGAATAAGGGAAAAACATCTGGCAACATTAAAATCAGAAGTGTCAAGATCTGGCAACACTGAAGCAAGTTTCGAGAAGGACCACGTGTATCGACAGAAATGTGGAAAAAGAAAATTTACATACTTAAGTACTAATAAAGATGACAGTCTTCATGTGAGTTGGGAGAGAGATCAAAATGTAACAGGTGACACAAAGACTTCCTGGCTTTTGGTGTAAGTCACCAGGTTAGCAAAGGATCCTCAAGAGAGCAAGGAACCCTTCATTTGACAGAGAACAGATCTGGTAGAAAAAGAACTGAAGCAAGGAACAATCTTTGCAGAAACATTCAATCTTCTTTTCAAGCATTAATAGATACTTATGAAAACACTATATCAAATGCCCATTCAAGTTAACTAGTTTGATTTAACATGTAAATCCCCATTCTAGATGATTGGGGAAAGAAAATGACTTTGGGTTATTCCAGTTCTAGTTAACCTGGTCCCACTGTGTTACATTTTGGAGATTATAAGTTGAGGTGAGGGGAAATAGATGAAGTAGGGGGTCATATCTTGTGTGGGATCAGATTTAATGAAAGTTTTACTCTTTATTATCATTTACAATTTTTCTATGAAGTTACTCATATCTCAAAAACAAGGCTTTTCACCTTTCACAATAATTAATATTAAACAATTTTTTAATGAAATTAAATAAACTTAATAAAATTTTTAAAAAAATCAAAAGTTGTCATACAATATTATTCATCATATTTTAATTAAAACATTTTTAAAATTTTTATTCCATCTTTAACTATTGCTAAGTAATAACTTTGAATTAACTTATCTAAAATTGAAGACTTTCTTTGAATTTTTAGGTGATTTATAGAATTTATGTAGTTTGCATTGTAATTTTATTTTAATGTAAACATTATATCAAAATGTTATGTCATTAATGAAACTTTTTTTTAACAGGAAATAGAAATGCTTTGTGTTGATTATGGAAATAGTGCTTTTCTGCCAGTAACAAATATTTATGAATTGGGACAGTTAAATGACATTTTGTCTGGACTTCCATATCAGGTTTATATTATGTTTTGATTGACAAATTTTGAAATTTTCTGATATATATATATATCAGAAAATTTCAAAATTAGTCAATCAAAACATAATATAAACCTGATATGGAAGTCCAGACAAAATGTCATTTANATAATAAATATATATAATTGAAATAAATTTTAAAGTTAAAAAATAGATGTTTTATATCATATAGTGCAAAATAAATGTTTCTAAATTATTTATTTAAAATTTATTTTTGTATTTATATTGATAACTGATGAATGAATCATAACAGATGGTTTTACTAAAATGTTTTCTTAACTGATTTCATTTTGTAGGTAGTGACTGAAGCAACAACAATGAATCCTGCTAAAGTAGAACTGTTTAAAAGGATAGAGCCTTCTGATGAATTAGTATCAATTAATCAAACACTAGCTCTTTGCACTGATATTTTCAGGTAGAGAATTCAAATTTAATTTTTCTGTTCTTTAGTTTGACTTCAAAATGTTAATTTTATTAATTTTGTAAGTAATATGAAATTTCTATTTACAATATTTGGTTTATATTAATTTTATAAATATGTAAGTTTATACATATAATTGTATATATAAATATAACAAATAAGAAGTTGACTAAATTATCTGTTTATATTAAAATCAGTTTGTTAGTACATAATAGCAATTATTTTCTTAAAAAATCCATTTGAAACTTTGAATATAATCTTCCAAAACATGACTTAGGAATAGTTTATTAGACAATAAAGAACTATTTTGAAAATATTTTTATAATTTTTTTTATTATAGTAAATTGAAGAAATACATGCGAATTTTGTTGTTGTTGTTCATTGCTATTTTAAACTTGCTCTTTGGTCATTCCTTACACACAGGGATGCCAGATTAATGAGAGTGCCAGTTTACTGAGAGTTGATAGGCCTGAAGGCAATGAATGACAGCCTGACATTCATTCTTCAGTACTAATTCTTTTTGGATGCTGTGAATAAATAATATGTCATGGTGAAGTGCAAATACCATACATAGAAACTGAACCTTGAATAAAGAGGAAAACAATGTGTGATATGACTAACATTCTCACGGAAATAGAAGCATGTGCCTAGGCGATTACACTGGGGAGAGTATGCCAGATAAGCAAGAGTGTACTGTGGAATGTTTTTGTTAAGTCTAAAGTATGCTGAAATCAATGTCATTAATTATTGGTATGCCCAATTAATGACATTTCATTTAATGTAAATTTTCAGCAGAATCAAATGATATCTAGAAGTGAAAAATTAACAATCAACTTAGATAATTTAAGATTACATGACAAAAAACACTAATAAGCATTCAAGAAGTCACTTTATTAATGTAATAATAAGTTTTATTGTAACAGTTAACTTTTTCCTTAAATATTTTAATATTTAATAGAACTTTCTCTTTTGTAAATTTGAAGTTAAAATTTATTTTTGTATTTATATTGATAACTGATGAATGAATCATAACAGATGGTTTTACTAAAATGTTTTCTTAACTGATTTCATTTTGTAGGTAGTGACTGAAGCAACAACAATGAATCCTGCTAAAGTAGAACTGTTTAAAAGGATAGAGCCTTCTGATGAATTAGTATCAATTAATCAAACACTAGCTCTTTGCACTGATATTTTCAGGTAGAGAATTCAAATTTAATTTTTCTGTTCTTTAGTTTGNATTATAAAATTATAATTTGAAAACATTAGATTAAGTTCTAAAACAAAATTAATTAAGCTAGTTAATCAATAGTTTATAGAATATCTTAAAATTTGATTAATGACATCATATCAGAAGTGGATGAAGAATTGCTTCTCTGCTCTCCAATTGTTACATATGCTTCTGTGCTACCGATGACCCTCTTCTGAGGTTGGCATATTTAGAATGGTAACTGGTTGTAGTGGGAGTGGAAGATTGATAAATTCATGAATAATTCCACTTTTTTTTATCCATATTGCTGTATTTTCTTCTTGTATTCTCAGCTACTCTCTGCATTGTATGTGAAAAATATTTTTAAATGTTCTCATTTACACTTTTCAATAAAAGTACACAACTTCTTCATAACAGTTGTAACAAAAAAACAGAACTTTATTTTCTTCACAATGTGAACAACACTCTGGCACCTGACACTCAACAAAGCATGACACTGACTCTCCACATGTCACTGAAATCAGTACTGACACACACACAAAAAGAATCTACAAATTTCTTTATTCCCTTGTTTTAAGGCAGGAAAACCTCACCCACGTTCTTAAGGGATTACAAAAGATATTTCCATGTCATGTGACAATTTTAGTTTAGTTTCATAACTCAAACATTGAAATGAATTTATGTCACATAAATTAAATTCACACAAAATCAAATAGTAAATCAAACTTAACATCACATGTAAGTCATGTAACATGTACTATTTTAGAATATCACACACTAACTTTTTGACTGGCCTTTTTCATTTAAGTGCAGCACTAATAACAAATAAAAAAACAGAATCATAAAGTGTCATTTGGTCACATCACACTTGTTTAATGATTAAACAGTTTTATAATTGTTGTTTCATTGACAACTTCCATCAGAAGGAAATATGTTTTTCCACATCCATTCATATTCAGTTTCCATTATCATGTTTGCTGCTGCATGATTTGCACTGTTCCTCATTTCATCAATACTAAACAAAATTATTTCGTTTTTTACTTCTCAATGAATTCTATTTATTATTTCACAATAGCTTTTTGGTAGATATGATTTTTTTAAGGTAAATTTATCTGGGATATGCTTTCTTGTATATTTCTTTAAAAACCTTTGAAAACATTGTAGTTCTGTAGCATACTGAAATACGACAGTGTGAAGGTGAGGGTAAGATTGATAAGGACTGTACAAATTAATAATGTACAAAACAGATTTAATCAGAGAATGATATAATTCTGAGGTTCATTTACAATTAAAAATATAGATGGGAAATTCATCGTCCTTTCTAGCTTGACACAGGAACGAAAAAAAAAAAACAATCAATTGTAACTTACGTGGCGCGACAATTTGGGATCTTTTAGGTTAGGACTAGTACAAATATCTTACAAGGATGATGATAGTTGAGTCCTCTATGTGATGTCTCTCTCTCTCTCTCTACAAAAGTTCAAAGTCTACAATGGAACAAGAAGAGGCATGGTCAAAACTGTGCACAACCCTTTTGGCGATCATTATAAAAATATGCCAAACACACAGTGACATGCTGTGGGAAGAGACTGAGGTGCATTCATCTCAAAAAAAGTAAAGCAAAATATCACTACATAAATTTGTTTTCAATAATTAAATGATAGTTGAATTAAAGTGAAAAAGCAATCGATGAAATGAATTAGTAGGTTATGTGAATGTATATGCACGTTGTTGTGGTTATTGTTGAAATATCGTCATGTCTTGGAAGAAATTGTAACAGATTTTTGTATATGAATTGTAATTTTTTCTATTTAAAGTAATATAAATTTAATAATGAATTATACAGTACTTTTATTTTTTATGTATAATAAATGTAATTTTGAATAAAAATTTTTTTAAATGTTAAGGCATATTTTTATTTAAAAAGATATTTCATTTTTCTTTCACCTTTGTTGATTTAGTTTTCAGAAAGTCATGCAAACTAGATTCCAACCATTTACAGGATTGTTATATTAATAATAAAATACAGGATGTCCAAAAAGTTACTGTTTAGTGGAAACAATTTAAATAGTTATACATATGATATTGCAGTTTCTTTTACAACAAATGCAGGAATTGTCCTTCAAAATTTGGGGACAGGTCTGGAGACCTAGCAGGTTAGATTCCAAACACCAGAACATCTGTGAGTAAGTAGTAATACCATCTATCACAAAGTGAAAATGTAAAATATACGACTTACTGGTCTTGTATGTACAGCTTTAATGTCATTACTAATTTTCACTGCAAAAAGACTTTTTGAACACCCTGTAGTATTACACTTATGGCATATTCATCAGGACCTTCATCTATTGTTTATTACATGGTGGTGAGTCACTATAAACTGAATACTTTGTTTTGTATGGTACTTTTAACAAAACATTTAGTGAGAGTTTTAATTTTTACAAAAAAAAATCTATTTCATTTATTTAACTTCAACTCCAAAAGTCAAAGTGAAATGATAAATAAGCTAGTAAATTTTTTTCTCATTTATTTCTTTTGTGCATACATAAATCAAGTAATAAAAATTTCTGCAAACATCACTTTAAAAATTAACTGGCTATAGTTTCATTTAAGAATGATGTTTAAATGAACATTGTTTAATTATAAGTATTTAATGTATTTAATTAGCTTTTAAGTATATTTAAAATAATTAAGCATTTCTACATGATTATATTAGTATTGAGATACAAAATTTGACATAACAGTATACTGTATATGTATTTTATTTTCCAAATTAAATACTGTATAACAGTGGTGTCTAGTAATTTTTATACAAGGTCTTTTCTAATAAATATCAATCTGCAATTTACTTGTCTATTTAAACTTAAATTTTAACTTTATTTTCTTTAAAAAAATTTTATTGGTTCATTTATTTGTTTTGAAATTTTTAATTGTTTACTCATGCATCATCATAAAGAAGAACCATAATGGCAAGAATGACTGTTAAGAAGTTTAAGATGTCAGATAATGTTTTTTTTCACTATATTCAGGCATTTAGAATAAGTCAGACTTTTTTAATAACTTAGGTGACAACAATGCTTTTACAAAAGTATTCCTTAATATCTACATTTTATTAGTTTGTTTACATTTTATATTTTAAATATTAAATTTTGATTCCTGATAAAGTTCCTGATGATTGTTGTATAAAGAAGAATATATAAATACAGTCAATCCCCCTATAACACGGTAGATACGTTCCACTTTATAAGCATTTCACATTGTAGGAATCCTTAAATATATGAGCTTATTCTAATAATTGGTACCGAGCAGTCGTAAAAGTAATGCCATTTGAACAGAAAAATAAGGTAAGTTTAAATGAATATGTTGTTTCAGTAACAANCAAGTCGTCACAGCGTGCACCTTTATACCAGGCAGCGGAAACATTTTTTCCCCTCTGGTGGCGATATAACATAAGAACCTACTCTCAAAAGCTAATCATTTACATATCTAGCTAAGATGATGCAACATATCAATTTTTATTCAGATCTAACAAGTCCTTCATGGTGCGTTATTTTTTTTGTCGTCCAGTGTATATGAGCCAATCACAGCCTGGCACGTGTGCAGTTTACAGACTACGGCTGTTTGAAAGGTTTTCTTCCATAAAATTAATCCAGTGGTTCCCAATTACTGCTACGCGTACCCCTGGGGGTATGCGAAATTGTGTGAAGGGGTACGCGCGGCAATCTAAAAATCGGTCAATTTAAAATTTAAATGCATGAGATGAAGCAATCAAAAAAATAATGGATTGACCATCAAAAATTCGGCAATTTACAAAATGATGTCGAATGCACAAATTTGTTTATTTATAACTAAAAATAATCTCGAAATTTCATCAAAAAAATACATTTGTGACAATACCTAAATGAAATTCTTACGCAAGAAACAAAAATTGTACAATTAACACAAATTGTGTTAATTGTACAATTATCATTATTATCATGTCAGCGAAGTGGCAATAAAATATTCACTGCCATTTTACACAACGTACCTCTGCGAGAGCAGATTTTCGGCCATGACAAACATGAAAACTAAACATCGTAACTGACTTCAACTCGAAGATGACTTGAGACTAAAGCTGATCAAAAAGCAACCAGATTTTGCAAAGTTGTGCAAAGAAAATTGTGCACATTTGTAACATTAAAATTAAATAACACTTATGTTATTTTCATTATTATTAGAATTGTTTTTTAAAGGTAATAAATGTAAAAAAAACTTATTCTATTTATCACTAGCTGTCTACCCACAGCTTTGCCCACATTATATGGAATTTTCTCGTGGGAGTAAGATATTTTCTTGCAGTAAAATGTAGCCCATGTTCATCTTCAACATGTAAGCTATCTCTGTGCCAAATTTTATTAAAACCTGTTCAGTGGTTTAGACATGAAAAGGTGACAGACAGACATAATTACCTTCAAATTTATAATATTAGTATGGCTTAATATGAATTTCTGCTATAAGGGGTATGCGAGTTTGAGCTCTTCTTAAAGTGGTATGCAGGAAAAACTAATTGGGAACCACTGAATTAATCGATTCTAGACTAATTTGATTCAACATTTCCAAAACACGTATAATTTTTTGGGAATAATATGTATAAACTATGCTATAAACAAAAAATTGCAGGATTACTTACCGAGTGTGCACTGTTCAATGACGCCATTGCTTAAGCTTGTTTTCGTCGTGGGGCAGCACATCAAACGGGGTGCATTTTCTGATAAGTTATTTATCTGTGAAAAATTTCTTTGAACTTTAGAGACATCATTAATAGAAATAATTTTTATGGCTGTTGAATGAGAAATGTATAAAATTACAGTACTGTATTAGACTTACAGTACCTAATTTATATACTGTACAGACGATAGTAAACTCAACTTACCCGCCTAAACTCTCCATAGCATGTAAGTAGTTCAGCTGCTTGTCCATATTGGTCCAGATTCAACCAATCCTGTCATGACACGAGTCGGCGATGATGTTTTACCGCATTTTATGAGTCTCTTTTAGCATCTTTATACAAATACGGTCGCAATTTTTTTGCCGTGATGTACGAATCTGCATTATAGGGGGTTGACTGTATATTCTTGATGATCAACAAAAGGCCTTCATGAAATTATTGTTATGGGCACTACTGTTGTGTATGATTCAGTGAGGATTACAATTTATCTCTTGCTGTTGAAATTTTAAGATAAAGCAGTAAAGAAAATTTAAAAATAAAATTTTATACATTTTATATTTTAATTTAACTTATGATTAATTTTTTAGCTGTGGTTTTAATATAATTGACATATCTTAAAATAATGTAAAATTAACTAAACATAATATTTATGTTTGCATGTAATTTTAATTGCTTATTTTCTCATCAAGTTTTAAAAATCTTGTTACAATAAGGTCAAATGTGTTTTTTCTAACAGGTTTAAATAAGTTATCTTAAGTTCTTTTACAATTTACACAAGTATTTTTTGAATTAAGTAATCTTTTTATTTACAGTTCAAAAGAAGAATCAGTGAATAATTTGGATCAAGTAAATAATGTAACAAATGAAAAAACTTTAAAACCATTAAATCTTCAAACGGATTTATCATCAGAATCACCATATTTGAAGTCACTCACCAATGGCATTCCTGTTCAATGTTTTTCGTTACAGGAAGAAAATAGAATATCAAAGTAAGATAATATTTTTGCACTGCAATTTGAAAAAATTATAGACCTATAAATTCCCACTGTTGTTTGTCTGCTATCTGTTCTTTCTTAATTTCAAGAATGGAGTTAGATAGATTATAGTCGAAACCGGAAATGGAAAGCTTAAGGGGATTAACTATACACAAACTTTTAGTCTAGACCAGAAATCACATTATTTCAATTAAAACATTGTTCCCGGAAAGGAGTTAGTTGTATTGCTAACAGGAAAAGTATGATGTACAGGGGAAAGACACTACTAATTTGGCATAATAGTGAAGAGCATATATTTTAAATGAAGTAAGTTAAAGATATGATTAAAAATTGCAGCTTGGCATTGTGACAGTGTCATCATAAATAATTATTTTTGTTTTATGTATTTTGTTACATTAATGTTGCTTTACAAAATTAACTAGAAACAATGATACAGTATCAATTGCAGAAAAATTAATCACATTTAATAAGTTTTTTGTAAATTGTAATAAAACTAAAAAATTTTTACACGTGTGATAAAAATTGTTCACACATGTATTAAAGCTCAAAACTACTGATATTTTCAGATAGCCATAAAATTTTAGGTTGCTTGAGTTTTTTCCAAGTTTTTACTTCAATTATTGTTGAAGCTTGTTAGGTCTTCATCAAATGAGAATAAAACTTTTCCAGGTTGTTATTTTGTGTGTGAATTTAAGAGTCACTACTTTTTAATTTCACGCCATAATGGGAGTGTCTCAATACGTCGGCAGCTGAGGACAAATAAATGTAAAAAATTTTTTTGCATTTGTTTTTATCAAATTTTGTTTTATTTTTAAGAACATTATTTGTTTTTTTTAACATTTTTCAAAAAATGTTTGTCAATTTAGGTTGTATACTTGTTTATTACAGTCTACAAAGCCTGTACATGAACATGATATGTATAGAAAACTTTTCTGTGAAGAAAATTAGATATAGAAAATAGAACATAAATATAAAGAAAATAGAAAATTAAACTTCTTTTACATACTTAATTTTAATTACACAAATGTAAGTAAAAACAGATAAACTAACTAATTCGTTAATTTTTTTAACGTGCATGCAGAAAATTACTTTATTATACAGAGTGTCCCATTTGGGAGTACATCTTTAAAAATGCAAATTACCCGTGAATGAGTGCATGTATTATCATGCAATAAAGTTCAAAATATTCCTTATTTAATGAAGATCAGAGGGTGGTGCGTGATTTCTCGTTCTCAGATCATTGGTCCAATTTTCTTTGATGAGACTGTGAACACCAACCAATACTTGTCCATATTTGACAAATTTGTGAAACAACTGGATGACTGTGAACTTCAAGAAGATTACTTTCAACAGGATGGGACAACATGCCATACCTCTCATACCAGTATGGAAGAGATCCAATCGTTTTTTGGAGACAGGGTTATTTCGAAAGGTTTGTGGCCACCTCAATTGTCCGATTTAACTCCCCCAGATTTTTTCTATGGGGATATTTAAAGGGCAAGGTGTATGCAAGCAAACCCAAGACCATCGAACAACTGAAAGCAAACATCGAGCATGAAATAGCTGCCATTGACAGTGACGTGTTGCAGAAGACATTCTCAAATATGGAGCATTGCATTTCCTTGAGTGCGGACGTTGGGGGAAGACATTTTCAGCACCTTTTATAATGTGGACTTGTTTTCCACTAAATACAGGTATGTTCAGTTCTTATAGCTCGTCTTTACATTCACACGTTCACGAGTATTTCGCATTTTTAAAGTTGTACTCCTGAGTGGGACACCTTGTATAATGGAATTTCAGCTTTATCAGACACTCTCTTGCCTGAATTAGTTTATTAAATTGAGATTTTACTGTATTTGTTAATAAAATACCATAATTTATTAATTAAATTAAAATATTAAAAGTTGATTTGAAATGCAATAACCTAAATGGATTTATCATAATGTATTACAATATGTATATACAGTTCCATCCAAATGATGATCAAGTTTTCAGGACATGTTGGCTTTTTTGCAGTAGTCACAGTTTGATTGTATTAAACACTTAAAGCACTAAATGTTTTGGACAATCACTAAACTATCACTTTTATTGTAATGAGGGTCAAAATGATTGTTGGAGGGATTAAAATTATTTTATCAGAAAATATTTTAATGTTATACCTTTGAACAATTATTATCATCACTATTCTGTGATTTATTTAAGCAATATTTACCAGAAATGCTAAACAAAAATCTGTGTTTTCATGAATCATATTCTTTGATATGATTCTAGAAGTGATGGTAAAAACCATCACTTTTAGAATCATACAGAGTGAAATATGGTCATGTTAAACATTGTGGCCAAAATAGGACATTGCTATTTATTGAAATCAACATATGTTATTTTCCATTAATAATATAGTCTAGATTGAAATTAATGTAAGAATAACATTTTATTTTATTAAAATACATTTTCTAAGTAATCATTTAATCTTCATTGTAGATATAACTTTTAATAAACTGGCTATGTTGAATAATGTTTTTTTATTTAATATTACACTATGGATGGTAAAAAACACTAAATATTTAACAGAAATGCTATTTTGTTGCATGCATATTAATAGCATTTTGTTTAGTGACATCACTTAAACATATGCTTTTGTCACATTGTTCAGACAACACTGATGGGTCCAGGAATTCTTTTCAATTAACAGTTATGTGAATGATGAAGTTCTTTGCATGACTTGCTAATTTTTTATTCTATGTATTGTGTTTTATCAGACAGTTTCTAAGCTTTTACACAGTAAGTATGCACATAATTGTGAATTATTATGCAACTATACAGGGTTATTCATAAATCCTTGAAATATTTTAAGATTTAATATTTGTAAATTACACAGTGGATACTATATTTTTTAACATTAAAAATAAACTCTCCAAGTTTTTTTGGAATAGTATATGCAAATAGTTGCCATGATTTGTTGCTATGACACAACAGTAATAAATATGGTGCTAAACAAATATGAAATCATTTTGTGTGTTGGAATTCAAGAACCTTGTCTGTTATGACTAGGGTTTCTCATTTCCTGGTCTTTTGCTTGTCCTGGGATTCCGGGATAAAAGTGAACTGTTTCCCAGGATAGAATCAATTATTTTTAAGGTATATAAAATATCTTGAAATTAAATGATATAATTATGTGACCGTAGGGTCTGTGTCTCTTTGACACCACGTCAGGAGACCTGAATCTGACACCACCGAGTCTCTGGGGGACTCGGAAATCACGACGTTACGTCACGCGAGCGGTAGCGTGTGAGCGCTTGGATTCGGAGTAGAGGTGAGGAGAGAGACGAGGAAGTGACTTACTCGGACTCCATATTTTCTAACAAATAACAATTTTAATAATAAACAAAGAAAATACAGAGAAATTGGGCATATTATCGGACTTAATTATACTATTCCGTTCGAGAGAGAGAGTTTACACGCGAATCGTGGGTTGATAAATACCTTGCTTCTGGGTCAAAGGATCCGTGGTCACGCCGATGATGATATGCCGATGGAAAGTTCAATCTACTGGTTCTGGATCTTGTCCGTTCACTGGGGTGGAGGCACGGAGGTGTGGAGATGTTATCCTTAAACAGGCACGATTTTTTTCTCTCGGTGTTAATCCTGGATCACGGTTTTAATCTTGGGTCACGGTTTTAATTCGGGAGGACGACTTTTGTTGAGCGGACTTTGTGAAGACGACTTTTGTAGAGGGACTTCGGATGACGACTGACCTCGGGGTCTTTTTTCCTTTTTCCCTTCTTATTCCTCTTGGGTTTTTTCCATGAGGTCAGGTGGTTGCTGTTAAGGGTCTCGCATCCAATATGGATTCTCCATCAAAAGTTCCTGGTGACACATCCCTGACTAACTGGATCCGACTCAACAAGGAACAAACTCCGTGGGAAATAATTTTTATGGCTTTTAGCCTAACTCGATAAAACGCTCGAATTTAACCGATTAAAGTTTCCAATAATTAAAATTTAAAATAACACTTTATTGTTGGTCTGTTCGTCCCTCACAATTATTTTTCATTTTTTAAAGTAATTTTAAAGTTTTGTATCATTCAAAATCATATTAATAGTGCTATGTAAGATATACAATAAAAATTACCTTTGAATTACGTAGAAATTTTCGCAAATAGAAAAAAAATTTATTAAAGTTTGCTAGAAACTGTATACAACAACAACAACAACAACAAAAATGCTTTGAATTAAGTTAAAAATTAAAAATTGAACTTGGATCAAAGTTATAACTTAAAAGGTAATTTTCGTTTTTTAAATAAAATATAATACAAAATATTGTAAACTTTTATAAGATTTTAAAAAGCAAAGATGATCAATACTCCGATCACTCACTCTAATTCTTATTTTAGTAATGAAAAGTCTTGCTACCGAGAATGCCCTTTCTGATTCAATTGATGTGATTGGAATTGTGTTTAATGCATTTAAGAGAAGACAGATATTATGTGTTTTTTCACCTGTAGCCTGGAAGATTTCGAGTTTGTTTTCGAGATTGTAGTACTTCTTTTGCTCTCTAGTATTTTTGATTTTCCTACCTCGGCTGCTTTAATAGCGGCATCAAGGTTATAGCTCAATAATTCGGCAATTCGTTTGGCTTTAATAATCAGGTTTATGAATAAAAACTTCATACTTGCAGACTTTATACTCGTTTGTATCTTTGCCCAATTTGCACAATCTGGCATTACACATTTATTGAAGCTACTGGGCATGGTTAAAAATTAAGATAGCGTAAGCACAATTATTCCATATATTACAGGTTCTGACAAGTAAAGAATTTTCAGGGTCCTGCCACAAATAAGCTACGTATTGATTATCGACCATTTGTGACATGCCATAATGAGCAAAAATTTAAAAAAAAAAAAACTAGTAGGTAGGTTTAAAATTAATAAATACAAATGCATTCTGACAGTGAATGAGATGATTATGCTTTTTATTTGCAAAATTTCTTAACCTTAACACAAAATAAGAAAAAAAAGTGAATTTTTAAGAAATTTGCAGGATTTTCCGGGATAAGAAAAATTTCCTGGTATATTTCCTGGGTTAAAAAAAACAACCGGGATCCCGGAATCCTGTTTGAGAAACACTAGTTATGACTGTATGGGATGATTTTGAGCAGAATTCCATAAGGGGCCACCTGTACAATACTATCTTGAAATGGTATGTGAAATTCTGGGATTCTATACACTGCTCCTTGTCCCAGACATCCAGGGTGAAGAGAACAAAGTATGGATCATGTTTGACAAGTCTGACCATAGTCCCTGCAAGTCCACTACAAGTGTAAGTTTAGGAGTTGGCATTTCTCAACAGTGTGGTAAATTCTTTGAAAGAAAATTGCACGTAAACATCAAACTCTCTAATCATCTGGATGTCTGCCTCATCATCAAAGGTGAACACATTGAACATTTGTGATTCACGTGAAAAACTTGGGAAGAGTTTACTTTTATTTTAATGTTAAAAAATATAGTATCTGTTGTGTAGTTGTTAAAATATTTCACAGCCTTACGAATAACCCTATATATACATCAATATATTTATTCTACACACTAATTATAAAAATAAGGAATATAAAATCTGGTATAGGAAAAGCACTCTTCATAAATATGTTTTTATAATGAAATAAATGTAACACTTACTGTAGAAGTCTAACATAACTGTTATGTGTAAATTTATCAAAAATGGCAAGATTGTAAAAATTTGAAATGTGTAAGTAGAGAATGCATAAATATGCAGCTTATGTTGTGTGTTATTTTTGTATAGTTTAAATTTATGGAATTTAAATTAATTTATATATATATANAAGATATATATTTGTTCACTATCTTATTGGAATGTTTAATTTTACCCTAGATTTGAATTTCTCTTTAGATTATCCACATTAAGATCTTTTATTTATGGATAAAAATGTGACTTACAATTTCAAATTTAAATTTAGCAAAACAAAATTTCTTTGTTTTTTAACAAAATTAAAATTTTAAATATTGTATGACTGTAAAATTAAATAATTTCTGTGTAATGTGTTGTTAACTTTAAGCAATTTATGAAAGTAAGGAATTATTTTAAACATTTTAATCAGATATGTAGATTATGCTTATGATTTTAGAATATTATTTTTAAAAAAAACTTGGAATTTATAAAGTGATTGATTGGAAAACTTGAATTGGGGACAAAAATCTATATTTCTATGAAATTTTAAATTTGATTGTCTTATGATGATGTATACGTAAATAAAAAAAAATGTATTGATAAAGAAAGAAATATATGTTTAAGATGTCTGAATTTTCTTATTAAACAGTACCAATTGAGTAATCAAATACAACGTTAAAAATAATCAATGTAGTAATTAATAATTTTTCAGTTTTGTATTAAACATAAGTCTAAATTTATATTTAACATAAAAATTGAATGAACAGTGTGTCTACTAATTGCAAATTGTGGGAAAAAAATTTTTCAGAAAATTTCTCTTTGTAAGGAAAATGGGATTTATTAGAATTTCAAATGACTTGGGATTTTTTTATTGCAATTTTAATAAAATAACTTATTTAAACGACACCTTAGTGATGAAATTAAAAAAAATTATTTTTTAAACATTCATAATACAGAAAATTATTAATGCTTATGCAATTGAAAATGTATTGCATTTGGAATATGTAGAGACAAATTTGTTCAAGTGAATTGATAACATTTTGCTAATGTTTTCATGTAAAACATGTTTTATGTGAAAATAAATAACCATTATTTGAATGTTAATGAGGTTATGTTAAAGTGTTTGAAATATTTTATTATGTGAAAATCAGTTCACAGATGCCTGAACAGAATTTCTATTTAATTATACTTTTGTTTCATGTTAAAAATCTGAACTGCCACATCAAATTAATGACTATATTATCCTTAGGAACAATTTTTAACTGAAAATTTAATGAGAATGATACAAACAATGATTGTTAAAATGATATTATTTTAATTTAATTTTAATAATATATCAAATATTTTATCAATTTTTTTAAACTGTTGCTGCCGAAATTCCATCCCTCAAGTGAAAGTATACATCCAAAAAATTTTAAACTTTTGAAATATTTCCATTTCATTTTTGTTGTGTTTGTCTTTAAGTTTTACATGTACAGTACAATGATCTTTGAAGGAAAATGCAGTGTTTGACTTCAGACCATCTTTTAGAAACTGAATCTGACAGACTAATCTAAAACAGTTCATGGAAGACCTGATTTAGCTTATTGTAGTTGTTATTATTGTTTTTGTTTTATTTTTGAAGCAATAGAAGGCAACAGTCATATGAAAAACAAAGTACAGTCAGTAAATGAATACAATTAGATCAATGGTGATTGAAGTATTTGAACACTAAGTAGATCAGTGAAATTTCAATTTTTGCAGATCTGCTTCTTCTATTTCTTCAAATCAATCTTTGCAAATCTGCAATTAATAAAAATATTGGAAATAAGCTATTTTAAGAATGAAAAAAAATCTAAAAGTTATCTGAAAAACCTGGAGAACCAAGATTGAGTAGACACACTGATAGAAAGTTTTAATTATAATTTAGGAAGTTTTTCTTATATTATGATTATCTCATAAAAAACCAGTTTTATTAATTTCTTTCAGACATTATAGTGTGATTACTCCTGATGGTATTGGGGAACAAGTTGATGATGTATTAGACCTCGAAGATATAAAACCACCTGTTCTTCCTTCTGTAGGAGAATTTTTTGATGTCCATATTGTACATACTGCACATCCTCATTATTTTATTGTTAAGTATTTTTTAATGACTCTTTAAATAATAAGTTTATAAATTTTGTTACACAGTAAATAAACTCGTGATTAGTTAGGGTTATCATGATTTTGAAATTTCAGAAATATGTGGTTATCCAAAATGAATACTACCATTTTAAATTACTATAATTGTGTTGATTATTATTTGAGAAGTATGTGATTTACACCAACCAATGTTCTCTGAGTTTGCTATAAAGATAGAGCTCATTTTAATTTTTGTCGCCTGATATTTACAACATATACAAACACAATTAATTTTTATGAGTGTTTTTTACAATAGTGGCCATGAAAATTGCATCACCTGTGTGAAAGTAGCATATTTAAGCTATAATTATGATAATTTAAGTTACCATTTCATTGGCTGTTGATCTGCAGTCAGGAAGACAGCTACTTTTTAAAATATGTCCAATCAATCCTCATTGGTTTGACAATTGCCAAATTGCCACTCATGCTTTTTATTAACTTACTATGTTTGTCTGTCCAATGTGTGTTCCTGACTACTATACAGATTTTAGTTTGCAAACAATTTTAGCAATTAGAAAAAAATTAAAATTTGTAAAAATCTCATGACAGATGGCACTGTGTATAGGGTAAACCCTTGCCTTTTTTTAGTTGTACTGTCTACAAAAAATCCTATAACTCAATTTTTTACCCTCTTCCCAATTAAATGCTAAGACAAGAAGAATTTTGATAATTTACTGTTACATCTATAAAACTAAAAGGCAGAAAATAAAAAAATATAAAGGTTTAAAGAAATGTTTTTATTTCCATATAAATGCACTGAAAATTAAAAAAAAAAACTTTCTTCAGCTTTCACAGTATTCTTCGTATTATGTGGCCAAAAATAAAAGCATGGGTCAATCATATTTAATAGTACTCAGAGTTACCACCTTCTGTTAATTTTTATGGGCTTCCCACATGCACACCATGCTTTTATTTTGGTTTCATAATACCAAGAATACTGTAAAAACCAAAGAAATTTTATTTTTTAGTGCATTTTTAGTGCATTTTATTCATATAAATTAATGAATAAAAAGCATTTCTTTAAAACTTTAATAAAGATGATATATACAGGGTTCCTACGCCCCTGGAAAGTCAGGGATTTTCATTAGTGTTTGGAAAAGGTCAGGGAAAGTCAGGGAATTTGTTGAAAATTGTCAAAAAGTCAGTGAATTTGTCTCCTTAACTGCATTGTTGATCTCGTTTGCGGAATATGGATGACCAATCACAGCCATCTGCAGGCGGCAAGAAGTAATGCTGCAATCTTTAAAACCCGAGATAACTCGGGCAAGTTCCATAGTGTTACATAAAACTCGGGCATTTGGGCCCTCCGAAAAAATTTTTGTTTTTTTTTTTGGATGTTTGGATGTTTTTTAAGTCTCCAAATTTTTTCAAAAATTTTTTCCCGCGCGAAAATATTTTATCGCGATTTTAATATACCTTTAATGACGCACGATTAACGCTTAATTGTTTTTTAATGGGAGTTTTTTTTATCAAATTTCATTCATCGTTCTAAAGTAGTAGTGCACGGATTTTACTTCGATAAAGTTATTTAAAGCTAGTTTCTGATGTCAAAAACGACCTCCAATAGTTTTTTAATTTTTTTAAATTAATATATTTTATTATATATACGTTTAATTAAGTCGGGGGGTCGGAAATCGCAATAAAAAAACGTAATTTTTGAAAAATATTTAAAAATATACGGCCAGCTAGTATTCACTCTACTTTAAACCCTTCTCCTCCCGAGACTTCTATGAGAATGTCCCGGGAAATCCCAACACCAGCTGTTCTCCAGGTCATCCAGCTGTAAACACAATGACTCATCGGTGTCAGATTTCACAGAAAGGCGAGACAATGGAAAATAAAGTTTGAAGCTTTTTCTTCAAAATTAACGCATTTCTTTCGTTTTTTCCCCAGTTTTAAATATTTTTTATGTTTAATTACATTAATATTAAAAATTAGTGAGTAGCAAGGGAGTTAATTAATAACAGGATAAACTACTTTTATGTAATAGTGTTTAATTTTTAATTTTAGTAATTCAGCGATTATAAAAAAATGAAATTGTTTATTAGAATAAAAAATAACTAATTAAAAATTTGTTTGCAAACTTTTAAAAGTTGAAATCGTAATTTATTAGAATGTTCACTTCAAAATAGCTAAACAGATCAGTAAAAATCTGTAATTTAATCGTTTTTCAGTTTAAAACATAAAAAATTATAAATAGTTACCCGACGTTTACAGTAAAATACTGGCGCTGACTTGTTGTTGGCACAAGCTTTTTATATTTGTTGTTACGATTTTCCTTGAATGTACTGTACTGCAAGCATATTTTCCCTCTCTCTTCCGTTTTTTTCCGCAACTTCGATACATAGTTTAATAATTAGTTAACTGAAATGATATTGGGTAACAAATATCACTGATTTTGGCAAATTTAGGGCTTAAAAACTGGCAAGATTGATCATGCTTGTAATAAATATTCTGTAGTTATATTTTCGAAAATCAACAGGTAATCCGATAGTTTAACCAATGTTAACTTGCTTATAATTAAAATTTAAAAATTAAAAAGCTGTAAATTTAAAAAAAAATAATTACATTACTAAAAAATTAAAATAAATTTGATTATTTTTTGTGCGAAACAACACCAAAACAATTTTTATAGTTATGTTGCAAAAGAAAGAGATTTGTAGTTACGATTCTCTGCGCTGAACTTCTATATTTTAATAACGTATAATTGTAATTTCGTTTGTTGTTTATTTCTGTATTTATTTTATTTTATAAGTTTTAAGAATCCCAATTTTCGTAATACTATGACTTCATAGGAATACAAGTGTGAGGTTCCGGAATTGTCCGGAACTAAAATAGAAAAACGTAAAATAATTTAATTATTAGAGAAAAAAAGGAATGAACAGAAATTTTTTATAGAAACTTGAGAAATAGTCTAGACCCGTGTTTCTCAACCGCCGGTCCGCAACTCTAATCTGACCAGTCCGCGAAAACTTTAAAAATATATACTGTACCTTCCATGCGTTGTTCTCAAATAGGAAATATGTGGATTATTAATCCGTTTATTGATAGCAAACTAATAGATTGAACGACTTTGAATACGAAAAACTAATCAAATTAAGTTCAGACTTGGGATTTAAAACATTGTTTGAATCAATGCCCATAACACAGTTTTGGATTAAAGTTAAATCTGAATATCCAGTTTTACATAAAAAGGCAGTTAGGATGTTACTACCTTTTTCAACAACGTACTTATGTGAATCAATGTTTTCAGCAATGGTAATGATAAAATTGAAACAACAAAATCATTATAGTATTAGTTCTGCCTCACGCCTTGCAGTTACCGCCTTAACTCCAAGAATTGATGATCTTACTAGCAAAAAAGAAAAGCAGCGATCACATTGATTTGTATACTAATGTACTGGTAAATAAAATAACAAATATTTATTGCTCAATGTAGTTTGCAGTTCTTTTTACAACAGAGAATTTTTTTCAATTAAAAATAATATTGTCACTGGTCCACTTAAAAAAAGCAGATATTTTCCGGTCTGCGATGAGTTTTGGGTTGAGAAACACTGGTCTAGATCATCCTTTCTCAAAGTGGGTGATAACGCCCCTTTGCGGGCACTGGAGGCTTTCATGGGGGCAGTAGAAGGCTCAGTGATTAAATATGAGTTTTATTTCTTCTCATCAAAACATTCTTTGATCTCAGAAATAGGATATGGGTCACACCCTATCTATCCTATCCATATAATAATGCATGTTTAAACATTATATTTGCAATAACTGTTTTTAAGATATGCAACAGATGGTAATGTAAAAAGGTTAAAAAAAAGTTACTCTTTTTGTTGAAAGATTGATTTTAAAATTATGTGTTTCTAAGTCAAGAGTTCATTTTAAGCACAGTACAGTACTATTTGTTTATCAAAGAATAATTTTTGTTGATTTTATGTTACCTTGTATTTACTAGATTTACATACAAATAATAATGATAAATGATGATAAAATAAAAAGCTTGTGTTTTGTTTGTAAATTGCTTATTTTTTCATTACATTGAAGTTGTGGATTCTATCAAACATTTTTCTACAGGATGTATGTACTGTATTTTTTTAATGTGGCAGTCTTTGAAGCATATCAACTGTGCAAAAAGAGGGCTAAATGTACTCAATGTTAACAGTAAATGCTGTTTTATTATGTCGATATTCCACACTAAAAAATGTGAGGGTCAGGGAATTTGGACAAAGTTGGTCAGGGAAAGTCAGGGAATTCAAAACAAAAATTTGAGTAGGAACCCTGTATATATATATAAAATTTTTAAAATGTTTCATGGACTTATGAAATAGATATATATATAAACTAGAAGCTAAACTAAGGTAATGTCTGTTGATCAGACAGAGAAGATCAGACATACCATCAAGACTAGTAGATAATCTTTGGGATTATTTTTCTTACATCCAAAATACAGGGTTATTCATAAGTCCATGAAACATTTTAAAAATTTTTTATTTATAAACTATACAGTAGCTCATTTTTTCCAAGTTTACTGTACATATTTATGCCAACTGTGCAATGTCTGTTTTTATAAGCAAGTAAAAATCTTTATCCAGTGCCTCCAAAATTGTTATAGCTGATTGAACAGCAATGCAAAATATCATTCCAAGAAGATGAAAAATTCACTCAATTGGTCATCATTGATTGTCAGACCCAATTTTCACAAAAATATTATGTTGTGCAAGGTTTACTTCAAAGCTTGCGGATGAAGGGAATTTTTTATAAATGTTAATGAAATATGTTTTAAAGCTTTACACCAACCAATGCCAAATATTATTGGGCTAGAAATAGCTATAATATTATTTGTTTATAAGACAATTTGGCACTAGGGTAGGTGTATAGCTTTAAAATATATCGGGTTTAATGTTAATGTTTGTTTAGAAATATGTTTTGTTGTTGTTATTGATCTAAAAATCCCTGTGAGTGTAAAAAAAGCAGTTGTTCTACAATGCATGAGATACTGTGTAACTTATTATTTACCTTGATTTTAAAATAAGTACTGTACATCCCATCTCATGTACTAGTACATTTGCTTCATACAATTAATAAAATGTATTTTTTATGTCACTTATTATCTGAATTTGTTAATTTAAAAAAGTTTTTAATTGGATGTATTTTTAACAAACAGCAATTCAAAAATGAATTTCGAAGGCATAGGTTAAAAAAGGAAAACTGCATATTTTTACTAGTAGACAAAATGTATAAACCTGTGTTATTTATGATTATTTTATACAAAAATTGCATTCTGATTTCAAAAGGAAAAAAAAGGTGCACTGTTGAGACTTGAATCAACAAGCACTATGCTATTAGCCATGTGACATTTGGGAAAATTGTTCAAAAATTGTACTCGCAAGTCATTTGCATTTTTTTATTTTTTTTAGATTTGAGTTTTTGAAAATGTTTGAGAAATGTACTATCTCTTTTTGCTTAATTAATAAATTCATATCAAGGTTTTTCCACACAAGCAATATTATTGAAATCCCTGGAGAACACATTGTAAGATCTTGTTAGTTGAACCCAACTGTAGCTCTCAGGTGAAGAGAGTACATTGATGCACCAAAGTACAGATCACCATGTTCCATTACCACGAGGTAATGGGAAAACATGGTGACGTGATATGAAATTGTCCTGAATGATGCAGGATTTTGTGTCATGAAAATGTTCTGTCTTTGTTAGAATTAGCTTGGTGGATGAAATGCTTTCATAGCACTCTGCATTCAAAGATCCATTTATATAATTTAGTCTGCTTACACCTTTACTGGATATGCATCCCAATATCATTTGACTCACCAGAAAGTTTACTATCTGGATTAAGCAATCCCTGTTATTGGTCTTGCCTTTTCTATTTCTACATAGATTTTTCTGTTATTTATGTGCAGACTAAATTTGATTCATCTGAAAATATATGAAAACACAAAAATTGTGGGTTCAGATCATAATCCCAAATGTTGAAATCCCAAAAGATCAAAATTTCGAAAGGCCAAAATCTCAAAAATCACAATCCTGAAAGATTAAAATCCCAAATTTAAAATCCTGAAGTGACTGAAACCTCAACTCTCAATGAAAAGTTTGTGGTCTGTATATGAGTGCATGTAGAATGGATTTATGCATACCCAAAACAACATAGAAGCATGGCACAGAAGTTGAGAAAATTTAGTAGGGAATGCTAATTTTAGTGTATATTGAATTATTGAAGAATTTCAAAAAGTGCAATGCCATATGAGCATATTGTCTGAGGAGAACCATGCCAAAGGAAAAAGTAGATACTTGTCACAAAACAAGATTTCAAAGTATAGTTAATGATTGTGAAAGTCAATCCAGCTCATATTGACTACCTGTATGCAATTGCCCATAATCTTTCCGTATAATGTGCTTTTTCGTATGTTCAGATTTCTATTTTCTTCCCCACTATTTAAAATTTTCATCATTGATTTTTATAATTCATAATTCTATATATTTGATTTTAGTTGTTATGTATTAATGTAATAACAGGCAATATATATGTGTATAGTGCATACATATTTATTGTTAATGTTGTTAAATATTTTTTTGTGTAAAAGGGACTATAAAGTATTCTGTTAAGTGTTTATATGTTTCTCAAATCAATTATGTTTAAAAATGTAAATAAATGTGTCTTAAAGATTTATTATTATTATTTTTCCCTGGATTATATTTTCAATATTTTAATCTTTCGGATTATGACTTTTTGAGATTATGATCTGCACCAAAAATTAGTATACACTAATTTGATATTTACAGTTAATTTTACAATCATAAATGGTGTATTTATTTCACGGTGTATTAATTTTATTTCTTTTTTTTGTATGATAGTGTCAGTCTTGGAAACATGGAGCAGAATTAGATTTATTGTATGAAGAAATGCAATCATTTTATTCATCAGAGGTAATATTTTATACATTATTGTTTGCAGTAAACATTTATTAATTTGTAGTTAATAGATTGTATTATCATTTCTCATTGTTGTTAAGATACTTTTAGGTAATTCAAATAAAAATTACTGGAATTGCACTATACATTACAAATGATTATTATTTAAATAAGAGAAAGATGCCTTAACCAAATTTTATATTTGATCATTCTAGTTACACATTGTTTTTGCTTTTTAATCTGTACTGGAATCTTTGTAGAATTTTAAGTCATTCCAGAGTTAAAACATAAAATTTTTCTGGAAATTAATTTATGATATAAAGGGAGTTGTGTGTATCTCCAGTGGGGTTGGACTTGATGACAATTTTACTTATTAGCATTTTCATTTTTTTTGTTATAAAACCCATCCCTATCCTGAAAATTAAGCTTTTTGCCATTTTATAATAGTTAAAAATATAAAAAGTTTTTTAATAAATTGTCATAACAGATGGTGCCACCAAATGTTTCCAAAAAAATTAAGCAACTTGTTGCTGTATTTATTCTTATGTAGATGATATACATTGATATCTGAATGACCTGTATCTGAATTTTCTCTACAACAAATGGATCTTTAATATCCAATATAATACCCAAATTTAAAAAATTCCAGTATTAAGAGTTTTGTCAAGGCACATTTGTGAAAAACTTGAAAAAATATGCTGTGTTCTCAAGAACTGGTATACATTATAATCTTATATACTGCCATCAATGGTAGTTCTTAAAACATTCATGGCAAACATTAATCACTTAAGATCACTATACTTTTATCATTATAAAAATTTGCCAGAAATCCAATTTTAATCATACACATAAGAGAAAAATCACTTATATTCATTACATTATGTAGTTTTTGAAAATGTAGTTTATTTTAGTTAATTACTTAAATTTATAATGAAAAAATTTTTCAATTATATATTTTGTTCTTGGCATTATGGCAGCATGAAGGAGAATATTCTTATCTACATTTTGATGTAATATTTATAAATATTGACCTATTTGTTCCTGAAATATTCTACTCAACAGTTTACCTGTACCTGTTTCACACCTCTTTGCTAAACTTGGAGTCTCATCATTAATTATTCTCAATCTCAGTCTTCTCAAAATTAATGAAAAATTCAATTGTTATGGTAAACAGACAAAAAAAAAAAAATATCAGCTTACTATAGTAAAAAAATAAAAATAAAAATTTATAAATTTTGTTAAGGTAGATTATTAAGTTTTTGTGGAAGAATAGAGATGTGAAGCAGATGATTAATGCTTTTAATTCATGAAAGTTGATTGAAGTTCAAAAATTTAGTTGATCCACACTCCACTAGAAGAGCCACTTGTGACTTACGAGTTTGGCCACCATGGCATTAGATTCTGATAACAGTAAGATTGTCATATGAAATTACTATTTCATTTATGTGAAGGAATTTTGTCATTTGTGTTATTTTAATTGTCTTTTAATATGATGATCACATTTTGAATTTTGTATTTTTAATTATTGATGATAACTAAATTGTTTTTTGTTTTATTAATGGTATATTTAATATACATTAATCCCTCCATTTATACAAATTCATTTGAACACAATTAGAAAATTTTAAATAATCAACTGGACACTAGATGTCACCTGAATGCATAAATTAAAAATTTTTAAGGATTAAATGAATTAAAGTAAATTAACTTTATATACAATTATGTATATAATTATGACTGTACATATACCATTGTATAATAGTATACACATATTGTAATTATACAAATTTATGAGTTTTCCAATTTAATTTATTCCATATCCTTTTTACAGTTGTGTAGTAGAGTTGTCAGATTGGGTGATTATTGCTAGTTGTGCTACTTTTGATGGTGTTTTGGCAATGGTTGCTGTCTGGGAAATTATAGTTTATGATGATGTAACAGTGTACATAATTACCATTTTATAGAACAAGTCTTTTAATCATTAATGACCCTTTCTATACCATATATGTTTGAAGTTTTTGATGTTTTTATTAAAGATTCATCTAGGAAAAATTCAATCTAGCAAAAATCTATCCCAGTAACAGTAAAATATGGAAGAGATCATTATTTTAAGCAGCTTTCCATGATTCTATTTACACAGTTTTCATTTACATGCTATTTTCATGGACCGTATTACTTGTATAAATGGAGGAATTACTGTAATATAAATATTGTTTTCTTATTTTTATTTTATATACTGTAAGGTCTCTTTTTATGTGGATTATTTTTATGTGATTTTGAAGTTGTGCAGTTTGTATTTCATCCAAAAATTTCTTGGACAAACATACATATAGGCTTGTTTAGGAAGCCCGCGTATAGACAGTCTCCAAAAATCGTGGAACAATCAAAGTTCACTCCATTTGTTCCACTGACGTATAACGTTTATGGATGTAAAGGACAGTTAGATCTACCTTAATCGCTTTAGTTCCTAGCAATTTTTGATACAAATGTAATTAAACATAAAAAATACTTAAAACTGAAAAAAAATGAAAGAAATGTGTTAATTTTGAAGAAAAAGCTTCAAAGTTTAACTTCCTTTGTCTCACCCTTCTGTGAAATTTAACACTGATGAGTCATTGTTTACACATCTGGATGACCTTGAACACAGCTGGAGTTGGATTTCCCGGGGCATTCTCATAGACGTCGCGGGAGGACAAGGGTTTAAAGTAGGGTGAACACTAGCTGGCCATATATTTTTAAATATTTTTAAAAAATTTGGAGACTTAAAAAACATTCCAAAAATTCAAAAAAAAAAATTTAAAAAATGGACTTAAGGACCGTGTTTTATGTAACACTATGTAACCTGCCCGAGTTAATTCAGGCAAGGAACTAAAGGGGTTTTAATTAACTCTTCACATCCAGATGTCAGTGATTTGTTTTTAGAGTGAGCTTTTGTAATTCGGGGATTCCCCTTGTACATGATACTTGCCATCGACAAGTCTTTTCTGATGATGAAGGTGATTTGGAACCACTTTGCAAATGGTTCAAACCATTATCAGATAGCGATAATGATTAAAAAATGTAAAACTATATTACTTTTCAATAAAATAAACTGAATTAAGTTTGAATACAAGTTTATTTTAAGCTTTTATATGAATTTCTTTCAGACATTCAAAGTAATTTATTAAGCAGTCTATTTCTTTTAATTTCTGCAAACTTTTTTATGCGGTTTTAAGTTAATTTTAACTGGTTGTTTTGGTTTTATGTGATTTTAGAAAATTACGGAACATAACCCTACTTTTTCAAGGCAAGTAAAGTCTTTTTTTATGCAAATTTTTTATATGCGCTTTTCTGTAGAACGTATCCACCGCATAAAACGAGACCTTACAGTATTTTCTTTACAATACTCTTTGAGTTTGTTTTTCTCACTTGAGTTTGTCTTTTCTTTTGCTTATTTATTAAAAGTGTCAAATAAAACCTACATTATAATGAAATTTAAAATATTTACAATGCATTTTTTTTAATTTTGCTTGAAATTTTTTCAATTATTTGCTTTTTTCTTTGAAGGAATGTATGTTTTTTGAATAAATGTTCTCTTGATTAAATAAAACATTTAAGAAATCTAAACATTTATTGATTTATTGTAGGAAAATACTATTGATATGGATGATTGCTTATTAAAGAGAGGTCAGTTTTATGCTGGAAAATATAATGACGAATGGAAGAGAGTATGGGTCAGCGATATAATTAGTGAAGATATGGTAAGCCATAAAACATAGAGAATTTGTTAAATTAAGATTAAACAGCTATACAATAATTAATACTTAGAAGGAGATTAAAATAACAAAGAAAAATTTACCTCTTAGTAGTAATTATTGTAAAATATACAATATGAAATTATGACTTATATATTAAGAAAAATGAATGAAAAAAATAACTTTAACACACAAATAGTTTTATAATGATTAAAGTTATTTTTTCTAGTAGTAGATTTGTGTTTCTATCACATTATTATTGTAGGTTAGCAACATAATTATGCTATACCATATTATATAGGGTATTTTTCTTGAATGTTCCTAACATTATGGATTAATTTTTGGATAAGTAACATGAGTATAGTACTGTAGACAAATGGTAATAGAAAGTACATCTGAATTAGTTAGTTACTGCATTAAATCAGTATATTTCCACATATACTCTTCATGCTTATCTGGTCTGTACTTGATTTTAGCCAACAACTGAGCCCAGCATGTTAGTTACACTGTTAATGACGTTCGTGATTCTTATATTTGTGGCTTTCGTGTCTGGCACTTTGGTATCATACACGTGATCCTTGACATGTCCAGAAAGAAAAAGTTCAAAGATGATAATGGGTGATTGGGCAGACTTAAAATATGGTGCCCAGCAATCTAGACCATGTAGCTACAGTGGCTGTGGCACTTTCAAGCACATGTTCATGAAATTGGGATTATTAAATAAGATTCTCCAACACATTATATTCACATATCTAAATAAATGGATTTTGCAGAACAGTTTAAAACTAGGGACATTTGAAGCGAATACCTTGTATTTATACTATACTATAAATAACACAATTAAGTATTTTAAAAACATTGTAAACATTTTTAGATAGTCTGAATATTCTATTCTAGCCATATTCATAATAAAACACTAAATATTTAGTAACCTTTTTACATCATTTTGGTAACTGTTTTTGTTAATACAAATTGATAAAAATTTGAGGTGTGTGTAACCCAGGAATAATAACTAAGATATGTATAAATCAGAATTATATTTGTCAGAAGTTTATTTGAAGGGAGAAGAAGTTGAATGAATTCATCTTTAATTTTAACATTTTTATTTAAAATATAAATTGTGAATATGTTACAAAATTGAATTATTTATTTATTATTTCTATTTTAATACTAGATTTTTAGGTTAGTTGAAAAACTAGAACTTTTTTATATCTCAACTTCTTGTACTAAAATTTTCACAAAAACATAATTGCATATTTTATCTTGTTTAATTAAGTCTTTAAAATCAAACAATAAAAATGACTAACATGTTCACACAAGTGTTCCTTTGAAAAAAAGATAGTGCTTAATAACATTGAAAAAACTAGAATATCAAATAATGTTAGTGTTTTTAATATTGATTCATTGTCATGTTTGCTGCTGTCAGTGGACTGTATGCTTGGACTATTTTTTCTTCAGTCATTATGGAAGAAAAATTGTAAACTATAAGTTTAATGTAAGGAATTTTGTTTATACACAGTGTATGTCAAAGTTTTAGGACTAATTTAATATAAAATAAATACATGAAGGAAATAACATGTGTATTATTTCTCCTTAAAGATATATCCCTCATAAATCTATGCATTGTACTTGGCACAGTTATATAGTTTCTGTATTCCACTGCTGAACTCGACAACTAGAATAAACTTTAGTTCTCTCATCATATTTGCTTGTATGTCAGAAATCAAGTCAAAATGATGCTCCTTTGGTTGGTACTTCATTTTAGGGAATACAAAGTAATTCAACACTGGCCAAATGTAATGAATAAAGAGAGTTGGCTTAAGCACCATCTGTTTCAGTCAAAACTTCTGCATGTGGCAATTTGTTGCTCTTTCTGCTTTTCAGTCACAGAAAATGGAATGAATCATGCACAAAGCTTTTTTTCTTCAAATCTTCCATGGTGATTATCCACAGTCTTTGCCGACACTTACATCTGCTATCATTCTTAGTGACAGGTGACAATTTGCAATCAGCAGTTGTTGAATCCTGTCAATCACATCTTCATTTTGACACTCACTAGTGCAACTACTCTTAGGGTTATTTTTAGTGTCTTCTCATTCATCACAAAACCATGCATAGTATCAGAAAATATTGAATTATTGCTTTGTTGCCTTAATCATCAGTTAAGCTGTTTGCATTGCAGTTTTACCAACTCTACAGCAGAAATTTATCATCACTCATTGCTCCATACTTGAATCCATGACAAGATTCTTCACTCAGTCACATTTAACTGTGCATGGCACAAAAATGACTTCACTTTTAATATTGTTTATTATTCTTAAATAGCATGACTGTAATTTCTGTGTTGTATTGGGAGAAAAACATTCAATTTCTATGTAAAAATAATTTTTGGATATATAAGCAATTCAGTTTTTTTCAAAAAGAAAGCAGAATTTTTTCCTTCTTTGAGAGTTGAGTTACTTAATGCTCAAGGTATCTCAATAATTTTTACTGTTATCTAAGTTTTTTCCATTTTAGTCAGTGGAAAATGTTTTTTATGCTTTTTAAAACAGTATGATTTAAAATTTTTAAAATTAAAATAGACTGAAACCTGTTACTTCCATCAGCAATTACATCTAATTGAAATGATTAAACACTTTTTTTTGCAAAGATTCGTGTTCTGTGTTGAGTGAGTTTTGTTAACAGATTGCTAAACAATTCTGATTTATCTGAATTTTAAACATCAGCTACTCTATACTTTTTAGAAATTTTGATGGTCACTTTTCCAATTTTGCAAGTAAATTAAAAGCAATGATAATCATGCAGTTCTTTGATACTGCGGCAGTCTTGAAAAATCTTAGAACCAACTTGATGCCTTAAATTCAAATACATTTTTGTTTTCATTGTAAGGCTTCTCCTGAAGCATTTTGCATTCATGGAGGAAAATTTTTGCTTTTGTTTGGAGAGTCACATAAATAGGATACATTGTAGGTCTGTATGACTGCCTGTGTAGAACATATTTTTGATTCTGAGATCTTGTACCAGCATTTGCAAAACATCAAATTGGCTACTTATGCTAAGATAATGTATGATGCAAAATTATCTTTTTAGCTGTCTGCTGACTGTTTTTGGTCAGATCAGGATTTTCTTCCATTTTGTGTAAATTATGATCTGATCTTAAAGTGAGGGATCTTTTTCTTTTAGTAATAATTTGCAATTTGTAGTTGAAGACAAAAATTAACTTCACAATTGCGTAATATTATGAACATTAAGTAAATTTATCAGTTTGTGTCTTCATTTCACCATAAGTTGAAAAATTTCAATAATTTTCCTCATGAAAATTCTCAAGTGAAATAAGGCAAAATGATTCACTAAATGACTCACTTTTTGTCATACTTTTAGCCCAAGGAAAGTTATGTACTAACCAAATTATAAAATATGACAAGTGGTTATTAAAATTTGATCATTACATACAGTTCAAAAAAGTATCAAAAGGACTAACGTTTAGTACATATAATTGTGAATTGCATTTAATTATGTAAAAGTGAATAAAAAGAATATATAAAAAACATTTTGCTGAGACTGAAAGACATATATATATGTCTGTCTGTGTGTCATGCCTGTCCCCCATGTTGACATGACTTGGTCGAGTCCGATGTTGTGTGCAGGCGGGAAAAAAGACAGACTGTTAGAGCAAAAAAAAAAAAAAAGGAGAGCAGCGATGTAGCACGAACGGCACGTCCTTTTCACGACGATTAATATCCGTTTAATAATTAGTATCAAGATTATTTGTTTAGTGTTCGTCGTTTTGTAATGTTTTCTGTATTGTATTAAAATATACTTCATTATATGTCATAAGAAGCTCTTCATATTCTTTCTACACTGTTTGATGCCCAGCCATCTAGCCATCTATAGTCCCCACACACACACATATATATATACTGTTATACTGTATATGGTTATGTTTATAGTAATGCTGTGAGCAACACAGAGAAGAAACACTACAAAAACTACCATTCGTACTTTTAAATACAGTGTGAATTTAAATTTTTCAAACATTTTTGATTGTTCTAAACACCCTTCCTCAGGATAAAAATTCTATGTATAAGTCCAATGGGTACAGTTGAGACTCTAAAGCATTAAGATTCAAAATGCAAATTGTTCCAGAGGACAGTTCTTGTTATTATTTTTAAATTATAATTGTTTCTTATTCTGAGGAAGGATGTTTAAAATGACTGAGAACATTAGAAAAATTAAAATTTGCACTGCATTTAATGGTATGAATGGTTGTCTTTGTAGTTTATGACAAATGCAGTTTGCTGTATTCCTCTCTGTACCATACAGTAAATCATTGTAAATAGTGCTAAATATATAGGCTAAATATTAATTTGACACTTTATGATAATAGCCAGAAAGAAAGGAATTACTATTTAGTACTTAAATTTTTATTTATTTATATTTTTTTTAATAGTGATTAGTTATCATTTATAGTAATATATTTGTTGTTATAGTAATTACTATAACTAATAATTTTATTTAAAAATATTAATTACTTTTATTAATTACAAATTAAAGATTTCAGCAATGAGAACAGAAAACTCAAATTTGTTTGTTCTTGCTGCTATCCTCTTTTAAAGCTTTGGTTCATGCACATTGTGTAAAACATATGCAAAGGTTATTCTTGTTTGTTCTTGTCACTCATATATCTATACATTAATGCAACTTAGGTGGACAATGATGATAGCTCTATTATTCACATTTATTAGAAAAATTTTTAAGATTTTATAATAATTATAGTTTTCTATCACTTCAGCTGTTATGATATTAACATATAACATTTTACAATATGTTTAATTAATTAAGATATAATTTCATTAATATGATATTTATTGCAGGTCTCTGTTTACTTTGTTGATTATGGTGGATTTCAATTAATTGGGTTAACAGATTTGCAACCATTATGGAAATATTTCCGTTGTTTTCCTTATCAAGCTATCCCTGCAGAATTATATGGTAATATTTAAATTAACTTTATTGAATTGATTTGTACTATTTCAGACTGTTTCAGGAAATTCAGTTAAAATTTTACATACTTTCATTCAATAATAAATGTAAAAATATAGATTCAGTATAACAAATGGTGTAATACAGTTGTAAAATATAGGCTGCTTGTATGACTGCCTGTGTAGAACATATTTTTGATTCTGAGATNTTTGTTTGTTCAAAATAAATAAATAAATTTTTAACAATACAATAGCCACGATTATTATTTAAAAAAAATTTTTGTTAGGCTTGACATTGACGAACGTTCGACGCAGAAAAATTTCAACATTGGATAGGTTAATATATTTTCTCATACATGATCTGTTATCCAAAAAATCAGTTAGCCAAACAACCCCAGTCCCGAATTGTTTCGGATAATCAATGCTCTACTGTATTTTGTAAAATCTTGATGAAGGTGATGTTTAATAGGCAACGTATAATGGAGCGATAAACAAAGGATCTATGACTTAATGCTAATCGATAAAAAGGGGTATGTAGACATGATTAGGATTTAGTTGTTCTGGAGGGAACTTTCAACCTGAGCCAGTAATTGTATATTACACTATTAAAATATTTATAGATTAAAATTCGGTTGAGATACAAGGGCTATTTTTTAAATACGATCTGTTTGTGAATGAGAGTGAGAAGGATGCGTGATCACAGCAGTACATATGTGCATCTGCTCTGAGCATGCTTTGCGCACATTTAAACACCATTTGCAGCAGTATTGTCTGTCTGTGTGATGTGCTATAAAAGTTTATGTTTAAGAAAATTGAGTTGCCTGCCGACTGTGAGATATGATCTGTTATTTGATTCTTGAGTGCAAGAAACTTGGCAGCAGCAGAAATTCACTGTCAGATTTATGAAGTTTATGGTGATAATGTTATGAGTGACAGTAAAATTCGAAAGTGGGTGAGAATGTTCAAGGACAGGCAGGTTAATGTGCATGATGAGCCATGCCCTGGCCGACCTTCTCTGATTTCTGAATACAGTGGAGCATCGATTATCCAACCCCCCGATTAACCGTCACCTCAGTTAACAGACCGTGTTCTAGTCGGCAAATTCAAATGTCTGCTAGTGATGTGGCGCTACAATATTTGGCTATGTCTTGGCTACTTTAATATTATTTTTACATGTTTTAGCTGGCAACACTGGATCAACCATGAAAGGGAGCCAATATTTAAATGAAGCTTAATTTTCTAATTTTTAACGATACAATAGCGACGATTATTATTTTTTAAAAAATTTGATAGGCTTAACATGGAGGAAAATTCAACGTGAAGTAGGTTAACAGCAATATACTAATATACTAATTACATGGGATATAATAATATACTACACTAATAATGGATTTTTTCATACTTTTCGGTTATCCGACCAACCCCAGTCCCCAATTGAGTCGGATAATCAATGCTCTACTGTATTTGGTTTTTGATGTGGATAACAAAATTTGAGAGGACCAATGATTCATGATTTCAATGTTACCAATTGAATTTACACAGGTTTCAAGATCAGTTTTGTATACCATTGTTTTGGAGAAACTGAATTATCGAAAATTGTGTTCTTGGTGGGTTCCAAGACTGCTTTCTGACAATAACAAAACAAAAAGATTGGGCAATGCTTTATCGTTTTTGACTTGATATGATCATGAAGGAGATGAATTGTTGGACCACATCGTTACAGGAGTTGAGACTTGGGTGTCTCACATGACTCCTGAGTCCAAGCAACAGTCAATGGAATGGGACATACATCTTCACCAACCAAAGTGAAAGCCGAACAGTCCATTTCAGTACAGAAAATTATGGTAACTGTCTTTTGGGACAGGAAAGGGATTTTGTTAGTGGATTTTATGCCAAGAGGCACAACAATCAATTTTGATGGATATTGTGTGACCTTGAGAAAATTCTAGCATGCCATACAAAACAAGCAGCATGGTCTACTGTCTTCCTGTGTAATGTTGCTCCATGACAATGCAAGGCTACATGTTTCTGCACAAACACAAGCTCTAATCAGTTCTTTTGGATTGGAACAACTGCCTTACAGGCCAGATCTTGCATCCAGTGATTTTCGTTTGTTTCGATACCTAAAGGAGTTTTTTGGTGGCCAATGGTTCAACCATGATGAAGTGAAAACTGCAGTCATGGATTCGGCTTTTTCACAGGCGGCAGATTTCTTTGAAGCCGGAATTCAAAAAATTGTTGAGCGGTATGACAAATGTTTGAACAAAAATGGAAATTATGTAGAAAAGTAGATAAAAGTATGTAGAATATGGGAAATGATATTTACAGTATTTTTCTTCTTATTAAAAAATGCACCTTACTTAAAAAATATCCTTTGTACTTAACTCTTTCTTTGAAATTAGGTAGTCCCAGTCTGACTCTTGTGACATCAGCATTATTACTGTACATAAGATGGCAAAATTTGTTTAATAACTTTGTTTAATAAAGAAGGGACTGACATTGCCAAGATTGATAAACAGTAATCTATTAAGGACTGAAAATTTGTAAAGAAAATTGACCTTAGTACAATTTTTGAGGATATAAGTTTACAAAACCGCCATAAAATTCCCTGGCAAATTTCAAAAATAGTCAGTTTTCTGGTAATTCCATTTTCTGAAACCCAGATATTTGATAAAAGCAGCAACCAAAACCAAAACCAGCAGAAAAAAGTAACAGATCTAGACATGCATATCCAACTGGGCATATATACTATTCCCCGTTACAGATCACAGAACTAACCATTACTTGGAATATGTAGGTGCTACGTGCCCTGTAAACACCTACCTCAAAGAGCATTGGAATTCCATTAACCAACACTGCTTTAGCCATCTTTGCCTCCAACCCTGACATAGATATGCATTTCAACTGTGCACATTTCATATATAGTTCCACTCAAAGATATTTAGAGCAACTTTACAAGGTCACCCAAAAAAAACTACTATTAACTTTCATGATGTAGATTCCTCCCTCCTGCATGGAAGATGTTGTACAAATTATCTTCTTCTCTCTCTCTTTTTTACATTACCTTTCCTCTTGACATTTGTATGGCAATCCCACCATTTTAACAGCTGTAGGGTCATTTAGCCTGAAGATGCCCATTTAACACTGGCAAAAACTTTAGCTCTGTTACTTTTTCTGCTGGGTTTTGGTTGCTGCTTTTATCAAGTTTACTCAGTTGTGAATGGTGATTTTATGCCAGATATTTGGTCTGGTATTTGCTATTATTTTGAATTTTGGTGTATGTAAAATACCTACATCCAAAATTTTAATCAAGAACTTTTGTTATTTTAACTCTATTTTTTAATTAATTATTTCAGTTATATAGTGTTAATATAATAAAAATAATTGATTAAAAAATTAATATGTCCATTTACATTTCAAATTTAACAACTTTGGAATATTACAAATTATATTTTATATCCCAAATATATTTTATTATTTAATTTTGATATATTGATAGTACATTTCCCTGGAGATGATGACAATATACTATCAAAAGTATTGGCATGTTTTTTTTATTAAGTAATTTTTTTTATTTTAACACGATAAGACAGTTTTTTTTTACTTTAATGTACATAATGCATCAAGTGTTCTTTCAACCTTTTTTTTTTAAATCTGTATTATTAATAGCATTAATTCCATAATATTTCATCATTATACAGGGTAAATCAAAAGTCATGAAAGTCTGAATAACTTTTTAAAGTAATTTTTGGGTTGCAATTTGAAAAAAAAAATTATAGATCTATAAATTCCCATTGTCATCCATCTGTCTGTCCATCTTTCCTTAATCTCAAGAACAAAGATAGATGAAAGCTGAAACCACATATGGAAAAATTAGGTGCATGAAGCCCCAATTAACTATATACAAACTTCCAGTGAAAACCAGGAGCCTTGTTATTTTAACAGAAAAATTTTCCCCCCTGAAAGGAGTTAGACAGATGGCCTGCATGACTCTATTGCTAACAGAAAAGTATGATGTACAGGGGCAAGACACTACTAATTTGAGGTGGAGAGCATATATTTTAAATTAAAAAATTGTAGCTCAATTGATCAAAAATTGTTGTTTTATTTTCTTAATCTACCATACAATAAGGGATGTATGGGTCAGGAAATTTGTGCAAAGTTGGGCAGGAAAAGTCATGGAATTTAAAAAAAAAAATGTGAATAGGAACACTACATATTTGTTTATAAATTTGTTCTTTAATGTGCACTCTATTTGAATGATTTGATGACTAAAATATTAATCTGAAAGTCTTTTTTTTTAATCAATGAACTTTTAGTTTTTTTTTTTCGTACTTCATTTTTATAATTTTTGCTGATTGTATTTTTATGTTCTGTAATATCTAAATGATGCAAATTAAAACAAAATTATCAAGTTGAAGTTTCTATTAAATCTTTTCTTTATCCAGAATAAATAAAAGCAATTAAGTTTTCCCATTTATTGACCACTTCACTTAATAATTAAGTTCCATTTGTACAATTAGGTTGCTAAGTGAGGAGTGACTGTAGTGTCCCCTAGTATCTGTTTAGTGCAATGGAAAGTTTACATGTATTAGGTTTTAACAATTTGTTCTTATTGTTTGGATTAATTATAATAGTTCATTCAGTTAAGCTTATTACCTGTTTACAGTATTAGGGTTTGTTTTTGTTACTTATATAAATTTGAAAAAACATTAGAAATTAATATTGTTCCTTTGCGAAATATTGTAATTTATGCAATTATGTGCCTTTGAAAGAGAGAGGTCATGACTTTCAGGAAGTCCTTCCTTTTCCAAAATGCAAATAAACTGACAGAAGAAGAAACAAGCTTATTAAAGAATAAAAAAAATGTTTCATTTTTATGAAAATTTTAAAAATAAAAGTTTAGTTTCAACATCCATTTCATACATATAATCTTTGATTTTGAATTAGTAAAAAAATTTTTTTGCTTGATATGAATAGTAAGAAATACTCTACTTATTATCATTATAATTATTTTTTAAGGTGTTGAACCCCGTGAGAAAGATTGGAATCCAATGCATTGTATGCAATTTCAAAAGATGGTGGAAGGTAAGGAATTTGTTTCCGTGATAAAGAAGAAGATGCCAGACAACAATACTGGTTTTGTGGGAGAAAAGTTAAGTTTGTGTTTAATAGATACCTCTCATCCTGATAGAGACATATATATTGATAAACTTTTGCATGATGCTGGAATAGTAAAGCTTGTGTTTCAAAGGTAGTTTGCCTTTAAGTATGCATTGTAGAAGAATTCACTTTGTGATGATTTCAGTTATTTTCAAATACTATTGTATATTTAACTTTGCTCCAACAATAATTAAGGAAATATCAAAAAGTTGCCACTTCTAATATTGATATTTAAGAGTGTATGTGGAGAAATAAATGTAAATACATAATATATATATGCACTCAAATATTAAATATCTTAGTAGTAAATTTTATTGTTCTTATAACTCTGCTTTTCTCTTTAAATATTTTAGAATTTGTTTTTTGAAATAATAACTGAATGTTCCCAATAAGACTACTTCATCATAAGTTAAGCCAATTAAAATAATATCTACAGTTCATTTTCTTATAAGTAAATAAGTTAAAATGTGAATTCATTGCAGATGCTAGTTTTTATTTATGCAAAATATTCTTTACTCATGAAAATGTCACTTTTCCAATTTTTGTGAAATTGATTTATTTTCATTTAAATATAATTAAAGAAATGGGAAAAAATTCAAAAATTATTACAAATCATTGTCAATAAAGAATAATGTACAGATATGTATAAATAAATAAATATTTGTAATTAATTGATAATGTATCCTTGTCTTTTCTTCATTTGATAGCCAAAAACCTATATCTCATTCTTCATGTCCATTTTGCATGATGTATGAGAAATGGGGTTCAACATTTTTAGATCAGAAGCAATGGGTTCCATTTCTGAAGAACTAAAATGACTTAAACTCTAGTTTCTTGTGGTTGTATTCACCATCTCAAGTTCAATTTAGAGTAAGATTTGAATTGAAAGTTCAGATAAAACTGATATGCCACTTGCCAGTTATAATGCCTTCTGCTATATCACAGATTCTGATTTAATGAGAGCCTTTCTAGTTCCTCTTGTCTTGAGATTCTGAGAAAAAAAAAATGATGTTTCTGTAATCTTCACACTGTGGAAGACTTTCTTAATAAAAAAACCAGTCCTAACTAATAAGTGGAATTTCTCAGAAATTTCAGGCACTTGGTGAAAAAAAAGGATGATTACTGGGTGCAGCAAATAAGGGTTTTATAAATTTTCTAGTTATGCAATGGTCTTCTTTCCATAATAGGCAGGGTTTGTTAATTTTTTTAATTTCTTTTAAGATCACTAACCACTAGTGATATGATTTTCTTATTTTGGCAGTCCAGATGAGTTGAAATTCTTAGTGTTTGTTGGCATTAAATAGGTTTTTAATATAAAATTAAGAATAATAAGCACTTTTGACAAATACAAAATTGTCTTCTTCAGGCAACGAATAAGAGAATTTNAATTTTTTTATACAAATAAATATTAATGTAAGTTAAATGTTAAAAATACTAACTATAAAAGTATTTGGGTAAATGCCTGGGGCTCCTTTTAGAGTTCAGAGAAGGGTACCCCCTATGAGCATGTCTTCCCCCATAAAATGACTTGGTTTTTAATTTTGTCAGAGTCGGCCTACTAAAATTATCAGGAGTCGTAGTCAAGTGATTTTTTACTGACTCCACAGCCCTGGTATTGAGTATGGTATGGGTGAAATTGACTTGAGTACACAATAAACAAACAGTCATATGACTGAGAGAAAAATAAGACCTGGTTTGTACTTAGATTATAAAAATATTGGTATATTGAGGGTTAAGTACTACATTTACCACTTTAAACTCTGATCTTACCTTCTTTATAATAATTAAATAAAATCTAGAAATAGCTAAATTTGAGACGAATCAATCTAGATTTATATCACTTATCTAATTGCCTAAATCTCAAATCTAGAATCTATTTTTCTCATCTAAATCTAAAGTGACAATCCTCCCCAACACCTGGTAGAGACTTCAATGTTTTGACTTAAAGTAAAATGGCGGTCGATAGTACAAAGTATCTAATGTCACAGCTACTCTATGTAGTATACACTTGTATTCTAGCTCGTTGGATGACACACAGCTGACAAAATCAACTGCAATTCATAAAAGCAAATAAGTACAAAATTACTATTCTTAAGTAATTTATTGATGTGGAAATATGCACTTATCCATTTTTATTATAAATTTAGCAAAGATTTTATAATTTAAGTAAGAATTGTATGAATTTTTTGTGGTTTTATTTAAAAAAAGAAAAAAAATTGATTCATGTAAATAACTTTGATCGATCGTCATTTGGTAAAAACATTTTAAGATTTATTAAGCCTTATTTTAAATTAGTTAAAGACAGAGCATCTTTATTGTATAAGCCTACTAATTAACATCCACTTATTATTTTGTCATAGTAGCTTGAAATTTTGCATAAGATTTTGCAAAACCAGCAGGACAAAACTATATTAATTAATTAAGAATGGAATAATTTAATTGTAATCAAAATATATTTACAATAATTAGAATAAAGCTTAAAAGAAATGTAATTTTATACACTACATACTATGTTTTATCAGAACTATTTCTATCATCAGAATTGATAGTGATTCTCTTTCTAATGAGTATCATTTATTTGTGTGTTTGTTGCTGCTGCTGTTTGGATATTTGGAGCCAGTATCAGCTTCATTTCCTCAGGATTAATAACTACTCTTGCATGCTTTTCTTGTTTTCTTCTTGTAGATGTAATTACTAGGTCTAACGTTATCAAAAGATTATGTAGTAAATCTTTATTTGGTGGATTCTTGACACTTGCATATTCTAGACACAGTTTCAGAGTTCCTTATGGCGAGACTCCTATGCTTCTTCAGACATCTGTCCAATTGGAAGCAGAAAGTTTTATATTACTTATGGACCATGTATAAGTATCTTGTGGAGAGTAACTGGCATTGGATACCAATTGTACAAACATTCAAATTTGCAGTCTCATCACAATACACTTTAAAGGCAGATATATTTATCTTGTATCCACAGGTCAAAGTGCGTAATATTACATGATATTGTTCAATTAATAACTGATCAACTTGTTACATTAGAAGCCACATCAGCATTTAAAAAAAATCTAACACTGTTGCCATTGTTAGTATTTCCTCCTCCTTGCTTTGGAGTGTCCAATAATAGTCCTGTTTCTGACTTAAATCTGTTTATTATTTCTTTCTAGTTGTGACATTTTGTTTTTCTTCAGGCATAGGACACTGCCATTTTTGTACATCCAATATATAAAACACATTCCATCAATCTTATTTGCATATATAGAGTAGATAAACCCCAAGTAAATGTCTGAACATCACTGAACAATGAACAATGGTTTGACTATTACATTGTCAAACCATTTTAAAATTATTTGTATCTTTTGATGCTGCTTGGCAAATTTAGTATTTTTGGGTTGCCCTATTTCATCATCATATATTGTTTTTCAACATTTCATATAATTCTTGTCTCAACACTTTTGTGACAGTACCTGTAAAAAGTTCATTATTTTGCAAAAAAGCATTTTATTGCATTGAAAATTTCATTGTACAATGTCTATAGATCTTCAATACTATAAAAAAAATATAAAATCTCTATGTATTAAGTTATACAAAACTTTTGGCAGTCTGTTACAATTGTTAATTGTAATTAATTTCTGATTAACTTGTCAATATAGAGAGGTGGTATTTTGTTATAAATCTAAATGTTTGAGAAACCATTTACAAATTTAAATTACATACACTGTTGTAAATGTTCTGTGGTGATTTGGTGAATTACCAAGAAAAGATTTAATTTTGCAACCGAACTTTAGAAAGCGACTGTCTCTGTTCCAGCACTCTCTTCAATTAATTAAGTTGAAAGTGATTTTTGAACAGTGGTTAATAATACAAGCAGGCCGTATTGCATTGCAATTTTTTGTGGATGGCTTGTTTGATGTATCAGCTTTATTTTTAAAAGGAATATGTTGTGTTATTTTTTACTTTTGTCCTGCTAGATTTGCAAAATCTTACATTGTACATACATAAGGAGATTTGAGCTGGAAATTGAGTGTATTAAACTGCAGAACAGGAAGATTAAAAAGAGAGAAATTAGTGTATATATTATTTATATATACATTATGCACCAAAATATACAGTACTGAAACTCTCGCATCTCAAATGTGCATATGTGTTTGTCAATGGGGCATAACTCCAGACGCCTGCATTCCCAGTAGTGAAAAGGACTTACATTACCCATCCATGGTAAATCTACATGCTAATAGTGTGTGTGTGTTACTTTCTTTCAGGAGAAATAAACTCGCAGATGAAAAGACAAACAATATTACCTTGTTGTCATTTCAGTACTTATATTTAGGTGCATATTGTATTTACCAGTGTACAAGTACTCTTCAAAAGAAGCAACAGAAGTGTAGCTGCAGAAACAGCCAAGAAGAAAGACACATTCTTCACAGCACTGTGCTGCCATAAAGTATTCAAAAATAAGCATCAATTTTTTGAACTTCCTTATGTGTTGATCAAATGTTTATGAACAATGAAAAGAAGAAATCGGTTAATCTGGAAAGCAGTTCCAACAATATTTGATGTCCCGAACCCTCAAAAACTTTTAGCTCCTGCAGTCAACAGGAAATCTGATGATCTGGCACTGTCTTCAAGGAAGAGAAGTACTATTTTTTGACAATTTTTGTATTATATTCACAACACATAAAAGTAAGAGATTTACTATTATACTTTTAAAATTAAATCCTTTGCATTTTAAGTACACATAGCAAATGATTTATATTGTCATAATTTTTTGACAATAAAAATCATTTGCTATGTGTACTTAAAAGGCAAAGGATTTAATTTTAAAAGTGTAATAGTAAATCTCTTATGTATATGAAATATAATGATTGTATTCTAGTTCTACCCTCTTCAACAGTTATTAGACCTTCTAGCTCAGTTGCAATTCAGTTTGTTGGGCTGGAAACTTATACAGAATTCACAGTAGGTGCAACAGTTCCCAGCTTCAGCACAACATCAGCAACTCCTGAAACAATCATGACTAAACATATGAACAGTGTAACCCCAGGTTCCTCAATGTCTCCAGGAAAAGTAACATTAATGCAGAAGAATTGTTAACTGAAATTGAAAATCAAAGAAAATTTCCCAGCTGCAGAAACAATTAGCAAAGCTAAAGCATCTGTACCTAAAAACAATTAATTGATAAGGAGCAACTAACAAAATACATATCACAAAACTTCTCATGCTGGGAATCTAAAAATATTTTTATCAATACAAATAGAGCTAGGAGATCACAATAAACTTGTGGACAAAAGAAATGCTTAATTTTCCTTTAGCTTTATACTTTCAAATTCCAGAAAGTTATTGTTTTAAGTGAGAGATATTTTCACTACCTGCCAGAAGTACCTTGCAGCAACAAACAAAATATTTCTGTTCAGCCAGGTTTTTACAATGAGCTGTTTGATATATTTAAACACAAAATTCAACTAATGGTGCCTGAATCAAAATTGTTGCTTTGTGCATGAATAAGTTGCACTAAAAATAACTTTAAAGCATGATATCAAAAATGCTATAGCGTTGACTTTACAACTATGTTGATTCCCATATCACCATCATTTGTCATCAGGGAAATAAATAACAATTTTAAGCAAACCATTGGCTTTAACTCATTCATCTATGCCAGCTGAAAAAATCAAAGTACTACTTTACAGTTACATTAAAAAGTTAGAAGAAATTGATTTTGATGTTGTACTCATCATTACTGATCAGGGTACTAACAACTCAACAGACTGCTTAATGTGAGGGTTGGGATGAATAGAAATGAAAAAAAATCTTCCATTTTTTTCTCCTCTTTCAAAATATTGTCAAATTTGTACCAGAGGATGAACATACTTCCTTTTTCTCCAGAACTCGTAAATGAGTCACGAGGAAATAAACGAAAAAATTCGTGATTAGCGAAAAATGATAACATGATCAAGGAGATAAATAGATCGAACACCGGGACAAAGGGGGAGTCAAAGGCCAGAAAGAAGATTTGTTCCTGAGAGTGTAGACGGTAAGAAAGGATGACGAGTTTGAACCCAACTCGCAGATAGCTCCAGACGAATCTCTCCCAATCTAAGTTACGTCGATTCAGTACAAGCGACCCTAGAGGTATGAAACGCATATTGTAAACTCTCTCTCAGCGTGCACCCACCCATATCTGCAGGTAAGGTTGATAGAATCTCGATGTTAGGTATGTTATCTAAGTTGTTGTCTAATAAAATTTTTGTTTTGTTGTTAAATTGTGTCCTTTACTCGTTTATTGCCAACCCCTCTCATCTCCTCCACTCGACCTGACAAAAAGAATCCTGACCCTTCGGGATAGAAAAAAATAGACAAGCCATCCACTGACAAGTGGGCAGTTTCACCAAACTGTTGCAGACTAAAAGAGGTAGGATGAAGTTGTACCTCCGGTGACCCACATTAATCTTAGATTCAAATTTTAATTTTTCATTTTAGAATAGTTGCAAAAGTTCTGTTAAAAAAAAAGTTTTCAACTAATTCTTGTAGAAATGTTATTTTCAATTTATTACTTTCAACTGTTTTGCAAAATACAATTAATATAAAAATTTATCCAGCCATTACTACACATTAATTTTGAAATATTACAATAATAAGCAACAATACAAAATATATTTTTACTTGAATATATACATAAAGTATTGTAACATTCTTTTTATCATAACAAATTGCATAAAGTACATATAAAAATTTTGTATAGACTTCATAATTTTTTATGTATTTGATGATGATAAAACCAAATAAGACAATTTGAATTTTGTAATACTGTTTAAGTAAATGCTTTTTTTAAAAAATTGGAATGAAGTTATGATTGATACCTTACAAAATCTGTAATTATGAAGGGTTGGAATTTTTTCTCTCGATATTTAGTGGCAAATGCATGCAATGAGAGTGTCTGATTGAATTACAAACAAAACAAAAAGTTTTTGATATGAAAATGATGATTAAATTTTTGTAGAATTTGAAAACAGGTTGGAAAATTTTGTCAGTAATTCTGGTGCAAGCTATGCAACGTGTGTGTAATTTTTAGCAAACAAATTATAAAGTGAGACTTTTTCCTTACTTGAAATTAAATTTTCTATCAAGTAAGTAAAATATGCAATAAATTTTCTGCAAAAGCTAGTATTGCTGCCCCGGTTTGATTTTGCATAAACTAATTTAACTTTTAAAAAATTGAATGTATAAATGGATGTTAATTATTTGCAACCATTCTACCTAACAGATTTGTAAACTATAGACTAGACTTTGTTAAGTAAATAAATTTTCCATGCTTTTTCTCTCTCCTGTTTATAAATAATGTTCTGACATTTGCTTATGTTAAAAATTTTAATATGCTGATGTTCTCTATCTATATAATAATGATAATCATATTAAAAAACCTATTATTATATTCATTTATGCAAATAATAATTGAAATTTCATTATGATGACGACAAAATCATCATCACACTGCTTGTGCAGCGACAGCATTTTCAGATATATCTTACAATATTATCAAGTATCAGATCATTTTAAACCTCTTTAATGCCAATGTGTGAGAGAGATTATATTTAATCTGAATCCTATAATTTTGGCATAATAATAAACAGGATGATAATTTTTTGTCAAATATGAAAACTTCAAAAGAATTTCAGATAGTTAGTAACAAATATATATATCACATTAACTTTATGAAGCTTTTCAAATATTTTTAATATACCATGAATGTTTTCAGTCCACCTTAGGTCCTTCTTCAGGTGGAGTTCTATTAGAGAAAATCTTTTGTGGTGTGATTCCATTCTGTTCCGTATATTTGTCAATGCTTTGTTTATAAGATGGACTTTATGAGTTAGTAACAATCCAAACTTAAATGTTTAGAATATTTTAAAATGTAAGTTTGTTATCAAACAGAACAAATGGTTTCCACTTGTAATTTAAATGAACAAAAGTGCAACTCAAAAAGGTCTGTAACAAAAATCTGATAATTGAAAAAATAATAAAAATCTTATTTATTAATAATTTGATGTATTAGTTAAATGGCTTGTTAAAACTGCATCCAAAATATCTATTTAAAAATAATTTGATTCTGATTGGTTTTTAAATTCTTAATGCCGAAATTTATGGCAATCTCGAGATTTTTAGGTTATGCTTGCAATATAAGTTGACCTTGGTGTGCAGAAGATCAAAATTGATTGAAATATGGAACCCAATACATATAATGGTAAAGTCCAAACTTTTTAACCAAATATAGCCTGAAGAAATCTGGCTTTTACTTGTTTCAAGTTAAAAACTAGCAAAAATAAGTGGTAATGCATCTGCATGGTTAGTACAAGTTTTGGGAATGAGTCCCACTACAGGTTGATCTGGAGTATTCTATAGTTAATGTACTTATTATTACATGTATTGTTCTTTGATTGTCAAACGAAATTTATTTTGGTCACAATTGAAAAATAAGAATTTTTAGTCTAAAAATATTGTATCAATTGTACATGCAAACAAAGTATTGTCTTTGGTAATTGTGAAAAAAAATTATTTTCTTACACAGTTGTGATTCCAATGAAATTATTCAATGACATAAATCTGGTTTAGGCACTGAATATATGAGGGCTATTTTTTAAATAAGGTCTGTTTGTGAATGAGAGTGAGAATGATGCATGATTGCAGCAGTGTGCATGAGCATATGCTTTCAGCATGCTTTGCGCGTGTTTAGATGCCATTTGTAGCCGTATCGTCTGTCTGTGTGCTGAACTGTAGAAGTCTGTAATGTTTAAGAAAATTGAGTCACCCACCGACTAAGATACGATCTGTTATTCGATTTCAGCACAAAAGATCATGGTAACTGTCTTTTGGGACAGGAAAGGGACTTTGTTGTGTGTCTTGACATAAAGTCCACTAACAATCAATTCTGATGCTTATTGTGACCTTGAGCAAACTCCACCGTGCCATACAAGACAAGCAGCGTGGCCTAATGTTTCCAGCGGCAGATTTCTTTGAAGTTGGAATTTTTAAAAATTTTTGAGCGGTATGACAAATGTTTGAACAAAAATGGAAATTATGTAGAAAAGTAGATAAAAGTATGTAGAATATGGAAAAAAAATATTTTAATGATATTTACAGTATTTTTCTTCTTATTAAAAAACGGACCTTATTTAAAAAATAGCCCTTGTAATAATAATATGCTAAATGTTAAAAAGAATTAAGGCATCAAAAATTCAGTAGTAATTCTAAAGTTCACTTGTATGACTTTTGATCTAATTTTTTGATTATGTAAATTAACTGTCAAGTATAAATTAAGATTTAAAAAAAAAACAAAATTATAAATAAAGTTTTATGAAGTATCTATTTTGACTGATGGGGAGTTTGAGAGATAGGATGGACGGAAGTGGACCTTGGAGCAGAAGACCCCCTTTCAGAAAGTTCTGCTATGTCTTGCAAGCTTGGCTTTTTTTCCACATTCATTGATGATCTCTTTATTGACTGACCATTCCGAAAGTTGTCGCCATTTGGATGTTGAAATTCCCGAGGAAATGGTGCAATGTATTCAGTCAATTGATGTTTCTGTACTAGTCTTTGAGCAGATAAAATTTGAGTTTCGTCTGGCGAAAGATAATCTCCATCCGTGTAAAAATCAGATGTGTCTGAGATTCTTATTGGTAGATACTCGACTTCACTCGATGTGTCCACCATGGGATTAAGAGGGATCAGAGGTTCGTGATTTAAATTAATATTGGTGTCAGCAAAATAGCTCATGGGTAAATAAGTATATTCCGGATAACCCATGCTGCCAGGAAGATAAGTGCAAGTACTGAGTTTTTGTGGTATAAATACATCTCCATAAACATTTACATGAGATGACGCTACATCATAAGTTGAATGATAAAGTGGCATTCCGATTGGTTGAAATATAGAGTTAGGGACATTGTTACGTCGAGAGTCAACTGGTGTTTTTGTCTGTGAATTTATATTTCCTTTATGTGAATTATCTGTCATGCCATGTGTGAATGGGGGATTAATTGTCTGTTTCTGAACAAGTGGACGAGTAATAAATAAGGAAGTTGTGGGACGATGAAAAAGAACTCCTTGTGTCAAGTCACCTGTACTAGTCGCTTTGGTAATCATTACTTTTTCAGAAGTCATACCCCGAGTGACGACACTCTGCTGAGAAGTATCGCTTCCTCTTCTATTGGGAATCCATGGAAAAATACGATTGCGAGTGCGAATTAAATGTTCTCTTTCTCTCCGAGTTTTTCTTCGTTGATGACGAGCCAATGCATGTGCGATCCATTCTTGTTCACTGATCTGGACACTGAGTTGCGAATCTAAGGACTGACGTCTGCCTCCATATGAATCGACTGAAAATTGTTGTTGACTTATATCTATAAAATTTAATTAAAATGCAATTAGTAGTGTTAAGTTATATGATACTCACATACATATACAGTAAGAATGTATTAACAGATTCTCAGGAATTCTTAGATTCATTTTTACTTTCTCGGCTCTGTTATATATAACAGAGGGAAAGTATGGCAATCAGTAAAAAAAAAAAAATGATCCCACATGAGATTTTTACATTTTTGGACTCAGGAGACCTTGAAATGTCACAAAATGCAAAAAAAATTTGGGGATTTTTTTCTGTATGGATGTTTGTTTGTTTGTGTATAGGGGCACAATTTTATTCACCCTCTTTGAAACATACTAATTCCTGTGCTTTTTGTCAAAAATTTCTGAAATTTTGCAGGGAGGTTTGTGTATTAGGGGTTTGTGCTATGGTTAAAGATAGAAGAGGTCCTGTGCCATATCTTGAGTATGTTGGACTTAATGACAATTTTACTCATTATTAATATTTACAATTTTTTTAAAAATAAAACTCATCTCTGCCTTCAAAATTAAGCTTTTTGTCATTTTATAATAATTAAAAATAAAATATCATAACAGATAGTGTCACATGTAATTTTAAATGTTGCCAGGAAAGTTAAGCAACTTGTTGCTGGATTTTTTAATCTGAGAATTCCAGAAAATGCTTAGATATATCTATCATATTGTAAATTTCATAGTTTTCTAGAAAAGAGAAGAATGAAGTTTCTTTTGATACTGTACATAAAGGAAAAATTTTTTATATATATCTTGTAAATGGAAAATGTGTAAAATGAGAAATGTGTGTAGAAAAGAGAAGAATGAAGTTTCTTTTGATACTGTACATAAAGGAAAAATTTTTTATATATATCTTGTAAATGGAAAATGTGTAAAATGAGAAATGTGTGTATTTCAATCAATCCATTAACTGATAAAAAAAAAATTACATTTTCTTTGAAATATCTCTGAGAAGTAGGATATTTTTGCCAAAAATGTTATATGAATATATATGCAATTTGGGAAGGGGAAAAATGAAAATTGTCACCCACAATTCAGTCAAGATGCTCCATGCTCTTGTTATTGTGCAGGTGGGGTATTTTAAGCTAAATACCTTTGGACCTAAAAGATCCATCGAGTATCCAATGAGAAATTATTTTGAAAGTATGATCTCTCTAAAAAAAAAAAAAAACAACAACCTCCAAGGGATGCCACTGGGGCATGACAGAATAGAATCTAGAAGAATGAGTCAACCCAAGCAGAGATCTGCACATGCACAAATGACACACAGAGGAGTCTCCTTGACAAATCTGTAAAAGTGGCAAGAAGCCAAGGAGGAACGTTTCAGTCAGCATAGATGTTTTCTTAAAGTGACTGAAGCCAGGTCACAATGCCAACTAGTCCATTCTTTGATAGTCAAAAAATGAACATAATTCCTGTCAAAAGCCAAGCAATTTTTACTTTGCTAGGCAAAAATGGTTTGCTCTGCTTTAAATCAGAAGTTTAAAGCAGTGCAAGCCATTAACCCCCACTACTTAAAATGATTGGTAGTAGTCCATTGTTTGATAGCTCTTAAAAAAGTGTTATGAGAAATACAGTGGTGATCGGTTAACGAACATAATCCATTCCAAGACTTTGTTTGCTATCAGAATTGTTTGTTAACCAATTATCGATATACCATAGATTTTTATGGGAATTTGATTAACCTTGGACAAAATGGCACTCCCTTCATCATTACATAAAGCAAAGAAATTCCAAGCTGACTGAAATTCATGTGAAAGGCATTGTTCACTACAAAATTTATCCCCAATTTCCATAAAATCAACAAAAAGCTGTATCTGGAAGTGCTAAAATGGATAAAAAGATGCCAAATAGTGAATCCTCCATAAAGTCATGATCTTGTCTTCATCAACATCAAAATGTACAGAGGTTAACAATTACAGTTTGCCAACAAAGTGAAAGAAGCTGAGATGTTGCAAAAGAAGGTATACAGGATACATTCCAATTGCTGTAGTCATGTTGGCAGAAGTATGTGATGAGAGGAGGGGCATATTTTGAAGGAAACAGCAATTAAAGACATCTCAGATGTATATTTTCAAAGTTATGATACCCACTCCAGGAACTTTCTGACTAAATGTTTATATATAGAGCAAGGGTCCAGTCAAATGTATATCAGACACAGACTGTATTCAATATTACAGGTAACCCCTGCATAATACGGTAGTTACGTTCCAAAAAATTGCCGTGTTATGCGAATCAAAGAACTAGTACAAAAAGGGGGGTTAGGTTCCAAAAATTAAAAAACATGCTACTATATTTTCATAATTAAGTTAAATATCTTTATTAAAATTTTCTTAAGTGATACATATTAATATAAATTAAACAATGTTTTCTTTGTCATCACTAAAAGCACTATTAACCGAGAGCGTTTTAATTTTGGCAAGTTATCGTTATCCTCTGAGCATTTTTCTGCATTATTTTCAGATTCATGCTTTACCTTTTGCAAAAAGTGTATGTAATTTTAGATTGCTTGCTTCTAGTTAAAAGATCTTTATAAATTTCCT